TTTCTCCCTCCAAATTGGGGCTTTCTGTGCCATGATCAGACATCCTCCCATTCACCTCGTCCATCAGATGAGCTGCGTCTTCACAGGACAGTGTTTTATTTCTTTCCCTTTTCCATCCTTTCTTTACCCAAGCTCCGACTGTCCTTTGAAGCTGCTTTTGCAGGTTTCCTCACAGCCAAGGACGTCCCCATGGCGCCAGCCCTGGTTTGGGGATGGAGATGGGGGAAACGTCCCTTGAACCAGTGCCATGTTGAACCCATCCCAGTTTTGCTGTCACCCGTGTCGCTGGCTCTGCTGTGTGTTTCTGCACAGGCATGAGTGGACTGGGGAGCGTGGTGCCACACGCCGGGAAAAACAAAGAGCTCCAAAGGCAAATACATTTTTGGAAAGGATGCGTTTATTTCCCTTTATTTATCTTCCTAAAGCTTTTGGATTCATCTTTTTGATCTTCCCCCTGCAGCTGCACGGCCAAGGTTTGGTTTATCTCAGCTGACATTGTGCTGAGAGCACACGGCTTTGCAAGCCGGGCATTAAGGAAGGGCAGCTGAATTCCTTTGCCCTGGAGAGGAGCAGTGTGTTGTGCTAACTTTAGTAAGGAGCAACTAAAAAGAGATGCAATAAAAGTATATTAAAAATAGCAAATGGCCATAGAAAGTGGATGTGAGACTTTGAGTGTCCCTGCTCAGAAACGTGGGGCTGTTCAGGAGGAATGGAAAAGTGACAAATTACAGAGCGGTGCAGAGCACCCCACTGCTTGTGCAAAGCCAAGGTGAAGCCACTTAGAAACAGGTAGAATAGATCAGAAAAATGTAGGTAAAAAAATACAGAAATAGAGACTTAGAAGAGTTATCAGCTCCCCTGTGTCCCCCAGCTCTTGGAGCTGGGGATCCAGCCCCCCAAATTCCTTGTTTTGTAAAAACATCTCCCAGCTGACATTCCTCTTTGCTTTTTCTTTCTTCCCCCATTTGCAAAATGCTAACTCTGCTCCCTCGCCCGTCTCTCCAATTTGGAGCAATTTACTGGGAGCCGGGGATGAATTACTCAGCACAGAGTTAACCAGCACCTGCTCGGAGTTAATTGGCATGTGTGCTAATTGCTGTGATAGTCACACTTGTGCGAGTGCGGGGGGTGGGTGGTGGTGTAGGGCGGGGGTTGTGTGCGGGCGCTGGTGGCTGCCTCTCTCCCGGCGCTTCTCGCTGCCTCCCCGGGGCGATGCTGAATTCCCTGATCCTTGCCGAGATTCCCTGGGGCGGAAGAGGGACAGGGTGGCTTTTTGCCGATGCAGTGCCAGTGGTTTGCTTTCCAGCAGGTTTGTAGGTCCCTTTCGATGCCCTTGGACCTTCCTCGTCAGGCTGTAGCGTTTTCCTTGGAAAACCAGGCTCAGGAGAAGGAAGCTGCTATCTGAGAAAGAACGTGTTTTAATGACTGGGGTTATTGTGTTGAATAAAATCACCTGAGACCCCAAAGGTTGAAAGTTATTTAGGAGCTCAACTCCTTTTAACAGTCCTGTGCTCCGGGTGCTTCTCTCTATACACGTTCAGGTGCTTAAATTCCACCTGATCATGGAGGGGAGGAGAGTCACGGGTGATCCCGATGCCTCGGGCTGGGCAATCAGGGACACAGAGCAGTTTGGTGGTGAAGGAGAGGGAGCTCCAGGGGCAAAGGGGGTGCTCCTGGGTTGAGGCTGAGCCGGCAGTGGCAGTGCTGGCATGGGGAGCAGGAGGAACAAAGGCAGCTCTCCAGGTTTCTTGCACTTCCAGGTGCTGATCAGAAACTCGAGCCTGTGGCTGGACTTTCTGAAACAGCCACCCGGGCAGGAAACGTGAAAATACCTGGGTTTAAAAATATGGTGGGGAAAAACCCCCAACCTAAAAACAAATAAACCCACCCCCAAACCCCAACTCCAACACCAGAAGCATAAAGAGAAAAGGGAGGAGTTTGAAATCCCCTCTGTAGGGTGCATTTGGAGGGCAGCAAACATGCCTTGCTCTTCTCCATCCCTCCTCTTTGTCCCATCTGATGGTTGCCCTTGCAATGGGGTGTTTTCCTTCCCGTGCAGGGGAGAAGGATCAAGAGCATCACATGGCAGCTCCTTTTCTCCCCATGATGATGAGCAAGAAACTGTTAAGATGCCTTTTTCTTGTGGAGAACTTTACCCAGCGGCATGAGCAAACCCTGAGGCTGGGACAGCGGTCCCCATCCAGCCGAGGTGCTGAGGATGCAGGATTTGGGATTCAGAGCAGCAGGAGGAATCTGGTTTGGTGGTTGAAAAAGGGGATTTGAATTGAAACACTTGGGGTTTATTTGTGGCCCAGGGAGGGGAATGTGGTTTGAATCCTGCTGCTCCCATGCAAGAAGTGTCGGCTCGTGCAGAGGTCAGGGCAGGCATGAGCAGCATTGGGATCTTCTCATCCCTACAAATATCCCATCTCTTTTTGAGCACTCTGGAGCTTTTGGCTGCAATAGCATCCTGTGAACAAGTCCCACAACGAAATTGTGTTAAAATATGTTTCCTTTCACTCAGTTTAAATTTACTGCCCGTTGTTCTCCAGTGTTTATTGTTGCTTCTGGAGAGTTCCTCTCTGGTTTGGACAGTAAATCCGCCGTCTTTCAGAAGGTTTCTCTGTCCAAGAGCTGCAGCACTCGGAAAGAATTAGCATCTTGCCCTGGGTCCGGATGTGGAGCTGTTGCTACTTCGTGCTGCTGCTGGCAGTTTTGAAGATGCTGAAGGTGAATATTTTTCAGCCAGTTTAAAGAAATGGCATCTCTGAAGGGAAAAGTGGCAAAGCAAACCCGGCAGAAGTTTTCTCCTCTGCCAAAGCTCTCTGTGCATGCAAAATGCTCACCTTGGCCTCAAGCCTTGAGCTGTGGACTCTGTCCCGTGAGGCCTCACAGTGAGGGAAACACTGAGCAGACACTCCAGGTGGATGTAACAAAAGTCCTCATTTTCCTTTTGGCTCTTCTCGTATCACCAACCTTTGAGGGATAATCTTGTGGCAGCCCAGCACCTGCATTCCCTGCTTGCTGGTGCCAGCCAGGGCAGTGGTGCTCTGGAACTGGCAATGCTCTGGGACCAGTGATGCTGTGGACTGGTGATGCTGGGGCACTGGTGATGCTCTGGGACTGGGAATGCTCTGGAACCAGTGATGCTCTGGAACTGGTGATGCCCTGGGACTGGTGATGCTCTGGGTCCAGCAGTGCTCTGGAACTGGTGATGCTCTGGGGTCGGAACTGGTGATGCTCTGGGGTCAACGATGCTCTGGGACTGGCAATACTCTGGGATCTATCTTTTTGAGGCTGCTCACAGAGGGACAGGGAACTGAAGGACATCCCTGGCACTGATTCAGCGTCCCCCGTGGTGACAATGCTCCTCACAGCCGGACGGTCCCTCCCATTTGCTGCTGGGAGGGAAACACTCACCAATTTTGAGAAATAATGGTCCAAGCAGCAAATGCCATCCCTATATGGTCTGTCCTTGCAAAGAGTCTTCCTGGTGGGATTTACAAGGGAAAAAAAAAGCGGGTTTTACTGCCCTTTGTCTCTCCAGTCTCCTTCCTGTGCTTCCTCTTGCGCATCCTCCCTGAAAGGCAAATGGTGGATTTTGGGGGTGGGGGAAAAAAAGTCTCCCCATTCTCCTCTGGGCTGCTTAAACCTGCACTAAACCATAAAAGATGGTGCACGATGAATAATTTTACCGAAAAAAAAGATTAAGTGACTCACATGACTCAATGAACCCCAAAAACAAGTGTGGAATTGAGACCATCAGGGCTTGTTTGTTGTTGAAACATGGTCTGATGAGAGGGCAGAGGATGGGGCCAAGGTCCCTGGGGGCCTTCAGTGGGGCCTGAGGGGGCTCTAGGGTGGGAGAGGAGCAGGAGGAGCTCGGTCAGGGTTGGCTGCGGCTGCTGCAGTGCATTTGGGATGAAGGGATGGAAGAAAAAGCTTTTTTTTTCATGCTTTTTGTAACAAGACCAAGAGCTGGGGACTGCCAAGTCAAGGCAGATAGGAAGCTATTTTGGGACTGGCTTTTCCCTCTGCCCGGGTCTTGGCACAGGGCACCTCGCCTTAAATGCAACGTTATCACTGCTGTTATCCAGCCGCTCGCAGAGAGAGCTGGGAGAAAAACATACCTGTGGAAAATGAACTGGCTGAAGTTCCCTCTTTGTCCCCCTCGCTGCACTGCAGCACATGCTGAGAAATGGGGGTGGGAGGCTGTGTCAGGAGGTGCCCTGGTACATCTGGATAGAGCCTCTGGCATCAGGGGATGCAGGTGCCCAGGGGGGCTGAGTCCCTGCCCTGTGATCTGCTGTGGGATCCCAGAGTGAGGCTGGAACCATGTGGATGCTGTGGGATCTGTGGACTCACCCCTTTGGGAGAGCTTAGGGCACAAGATACCCCCGAGTCAATCCACACACCCCCCAGATCAATGGAAACATCCAGTGTCTGGCTGTGGCTGAGCTCAGTGGAAGGCCAGGCTGTCTCAGCTACCTTCAGAGTCTTCCTTTCTCATAAGAATTAGGTTTCTGTGCCTGGTTATAAGGTTTTTTTAAGTAATCAAATAAAGATATTTTAAAATTCCAAATTGAAGATTAGTGCAGAAATTGGAGACGGATTTAAATTGCCCGAGCTAATCACCAGCCACTCGACTACTTATGACTTTATTAAGAGAAAAAAAAAGTCTGGAGTGTCACAGAGGAATAATGATTCATGGGCGCCTTGCTGCCGTCTCCTCCTCCTCCCTGAGCATCGCCATGCCCGGCCCACACGTGTCCTGCAGTGCGGGTGCTCTTGGGCTCCATCCTTGGGGTTCTTCAAGACCAGGTTGGATAAATCCCTTTGCAGCCTTTCTGGCCCCAGAGCTGAATGGGAGGAAGGACCAGAGACCCCCATGGCCTGGGGAGTGGGATCCGCACCGGCGGAGGGAGGATGCCGGGAGGGCGCTGGGTCCTGGATGCGGTTTGGGAACAGACTGGCTCACTCCTGTCTCTCTCCTTGTGCAGGTTTCTGAGCAGCTGCTGACGGCTCAGCCCCGCTGGATCCGACCGCACACGAGGGTACCATGAACTGAGCACGGAGACACCCAAAACTCTCTTTTTTTTTTTTGTTTTGGCTTTTTTTGGGTTTGTTTTCCACCCGTGAAAAAAGCCCCTCGACGCTCTTTAATGAAAGCGTTTTGAAGCGGGTTAGTTCTCCCCTCCCCTGAGCCGAAGTCGTCCCGGGTGCGGTGAGGATTTCCAGAGAAGATGGGGAGAAAAAAGATCCAGATCCAGCGGATCACGGACGAGCGCAATCGGCAGGTCGGTGCTGCCCCTCCTCGCCCCTCCTCCTCCTGTCCCGTCGGGGATTTTAGGGGTTCTGTTTCAAAACGACCCACTTCCATCTCATTTTGGGCCACTGGTGCTGTTTTATTCCCAACCCATAAAATAAGCAGAGGGGTGAGACTCGGTGCCGGGGCTGGATCCAGGCAGATCCCAGAACCAGGCAAACAACCCCGTTGCACCACGGCCCCCACCCAGGCGTTGCTCCTCGCCTTGGAGCTCCTCGCGCCGTTTCCATCTAAGTGCTTTTCCAGAAGAAAGTATCTTCTCCACTTAGTTAGTTCCCTTTTTGGTGTTTTTTTTTTTTTTTTTGTCCTGCAGAAAATATATTTCAGTTGACATTTTCCATGTGGTTTTTCCAATAAAAAACAGCCACAACAAGTATCCATTTTGCTGAACGCAAACAACCCAAATTGTTCCTTTTTTTTTTTTTTTCTTCTCAATTGAAAACTTACATGGCTCCAGGGTTTTTTTCCTTGGGCTGTGTTGAAGCCAAGCCCGAGACACACATGCATGTGCATGTGTGTAGGAATGCATTTGTGTATCTCAGAGGGAAAAAAACCCATCAGGTTTTTCCCAAATTGCCGTGTTCCTTGAGCCGGAGCAGCGGAGCAGCAGCTCTTTGCTGGCCCAGGTTTGCTCTGGGATGACTCCATCGGTGTACTCCCCATAACCACAAGACTTTCAGGCAGGTCCCTTTGCTTCCTGTGCTCCTGGAGTTTGGCTAAGCAGATCCAAGCCACTGCCCTTAGTCCAGCAACCTCCACACCCCAGAGTGGCCTGCCACACTTCTTTCCTGATGCTTTTATTACATAAAAACAGAAAAAAAAAAGCAAAAAAAAGTGTGGATGTATTCCTAATGCTTAAAGAGTGGCAAAGAACAGAATTGGATAACCAGTTTATCGCTCTGCAGCAGAACAATAGGAAATGGCAGGTTTTCCTCATTACAGCTTCATTTGAGGGGAGGGGGCTGGGATGAACATCAAATGGGTTTTGCTGATGTCCCAGTTGCTCCTGGCGCTGTTTGTGTCCATAATGAAGAGGAAACAGGGCCTTAGGGGTTATTAAAGGAGCCAGGCTGTATTTTATGGGGCAGCACTGAGGGGGGGAGCGAGGGATCCACAGCGACTGGAGCCCTGTTGGAAGTTCAGACAAATGGAAAATATTTGGTAATGCTGGAGGGGGGTGGCACAGCCTGGCCCTGCTGGATAAGACTTCGGGAAAGGAAGGAGGCACTTCTCTGCCAGAGACAACAGTCAAGGTGGTGGGGCTGTTTTTGGGGGTCTTGCTGCACCAGGTGGGATTTGGCAGCAGGAGTTGCTCTGCCCAGCTGGGTGCTGTGGCTTTAGCGTGTCTCTCATGTCACGTGTTCTCCCCAAAGCTCAGCTCCCTGGGCTGGGGGACATTGGTTTTCCCCTGGCAGCAGCTGCAGCCCTGGCTGGGCTGGTTCTTCCAAAACCCAGTATGGGAGCATTGCTCCCCACCCCAGCACGGCACGTCTCGCTTTGCTTCCCAAAAACCCAGCCCTGTTGAAGTTGAGTGTCAGCAAAGCTGCAGCTGTTTAATTGGTCATCAGTGCAGCTTTGCAATCAGTTACTTTCGCTGCTCCCTTTCTTTGGGAAACAAGGACACACCAGGAAGATGGGACATTTTGTGAAGGGCTGCTCCAGGCAGTGGGTTGCTGATCTGCTCTATCCACCACAGTGGGAGCTGTAAAGGGGGTGAGAACCCTCTTGTTCCACACTGTACATGAACAGTGCCAGGATTTGCTCCCCAGAGTCAGAAGTGTCCCCTCTTGCTTCATCTCATGGAATCATGGGATGGTTTGGGTTGGAAGAGACCTTAAAGACCGTTTTGTCCCACACCCCTGCCATGGCCAGGGACACCTTCCACTAGCCCAGGTTGCTCCAAGCCAAATCCAACCTGGCCTTGAACACTTCCAGGGATGGGGCAGCCACAACTTCTCTGGGCAACCTGTGCAAGAGCCTCCCCACCCTCACAGGGAAGGACTTCTTCCTTAACATCCCACCTAAATCTGCCATTCATCATTTTAGAACCATCCCCCCTTGTCCCATCAATATCTGCCCATTTGAAAAGTCCCTCTCCATCTTTTTTATAAGCTGAAAGGCCGCAGTGAGGTCTCCCTGGAGCTGCCTCTTCCTTCTCGCTCCCGTGTCCTCCCTCTCCGGCTGTTATTGCGGATCAGCGGTGAGAGGCGTCCGTGCGTGCTGTGGGCTGTTGGCTAAGCTGGCTTAAACCCGTTGTCTGGGAGCATCCTCAGCCCACCCCTGCCTCCACGGCAGCCCCCGCGCTCTGGCTCGGCGCGGGGGCACGCTCGGCTCTCCGGTGCCGTGCCCCAGGAGCGGAGCAGCCTGGCACTGATGAATTATGGATGGGGCTTTGTGCCGCGGTGCTGCTGCTGGAAATGTAGGGCTGGCAGCTCCGTGCACCATCCTCGGTGTGCCCGGATGGCTCCCATGGCACCTGCGCCTGTCGGGAGAGGGAGAGATGAGGAATGGGAGTAGCGCAGGGATGTGCTGGAGAATGGTTGTGCGAGGAGCTGGAGGCAGAGCCGCTCTCGACACCTGCGGTTCCGCTTGTGCTGCCAAGGATTTCATCCCTAACCGTGGTTTGAGGGCTGCTGAGGCATCGTGAACCTCAGGGAGAGTTAAGGCTGAACAGGGGCTCTCCAGAGCCTTCACTGTGAGGTGAAGTTCTTCGCTTGCATCTCACACTGAGCCTGCGGCATCAGTGAGTCTGACCCTGCTCGTGTCCCACGTTCTGCCTTTCATGGGGGCACAGACCACAAACCCACATGGAGGCTCCAACAGCACGTGGAGTTGCTGGAGTGGGTCTGGAGGAAGCCACGGAAATGCTCTGAAGACTGGAGCACCTCTGCTCTGGAGACAAGCTGGAGCAGCTGGGATTGTTCAGCCTGGAGAAGAGAAGGCTTTGTGGAGACCTTGGAGTGCCTTCCAGTGCCTACAGTGGCTTCAGTAGAGCTGGAGAGGGATTTTGGACAAGGACCTGGAGAGACAGGACAAGGAGGGGATGGTTTTAAACTGAAAAGGGGGAGAATTTAGGTTGAATATTAGGAGGAAATTCTTCTGTGTGAGGGTGTTGAGGCCCTGGCACAGGTTGCCCAGAGAAGCTGTGGCTGCCCCATCCCTGGAAGTGTTCAAGGCCAGATTGGATGGGGCTTGAAGCAACCTGGTCTCACTGAAGGTGTCCCTGCCCGTGGCGGGAGAATGGGACAAGATGAGCTTTTAGATCCCTTCCAACCCAAAGCACTGTGCGATTCTGTGAATTACAGCAGCAGCCAAAACCAGGGGACGAGAGCAAGTAAGAGTCACTAATGTCATTAGAGGAATTACTGGAGAGGATTTGCCACGACAGATCAGGCCATCAGTCCTTCAGGGCCAGGCTGCTGACTCTGGCAACCGCCAATATGGTTTGCATCAGGGGAAAGGCAAAAATCCCCTGCTAGTGTGGGGCAGTAATTCCTTCCTGACCCCTTTGGTGATCGGCTTATGCCCTGAAGCATGAGATTTGATTACCTTCTTAGACTTACAAGGTTAATTCTTCTAGATCGGGTTCGTGCACAGCGTCAGGGGAAGGTTTGGGTTTTCTGTCCCGGGTCACGGGTGGATGCCCGAGGCAGCATTAGGTGATGCCTTTGTGTTATGTGGTGGCTAAATGGTAAATCTTTGCTTTTCTCTGGAAGAAGCAAGGGTGCCAAGACAGAGGGATGCTCCTCTGCCCTGTTCCTGTCTGCAGAGGGAATATCTCCTCATCTGTAGAGGGATAATTTGGTGCTTTGGGTTCTGCTCAGCTCTGCCCAGGTTGCTGGTTGGTTTGGGGAAGGTGACCCCACACTCAAGGGCAAAACCCAAACCAAACTTGTTCCTGGTCTTCATTGGCAAGAGCTGCCCCCTTGCTCACACGCCTCGGCCTCACCCTGTTGCCTCCGATCTTGGTGGATGAGAGGTCTCATGGTGCTTGGCAGTTGTGTTTTGGTGAGGTATCCCCAGCACTGGCAGCAGCAGAAGCAACCACCCTCGGCTGTTCCCTCTGTCTTGGCAGAGACATGGTGTGTTTTCCTCTCAGGGGCTCCTCGGGCTGCTTAGAGGGTGAGTCAGAGCTGTGGGGCTGTCCCGGCGGGACAGCGAGGCGGGTCGTGCCAGGCTGTGGTGCTGCCAGAGCTGCGGCAGAGCACCTGGTCTCTGGTAGGGACGTGGGACCAGAAACGCTGCTGCCACAGTGCTGGGGAGCCCTGGCTTGGTTTTAGTGCCTGTCCTGCCATGGAGGAGCAGAATATCAGCTGACCATGTGGCCACTGGCTGCTGCGTGGCACTGCCAGCTCTTGGTCTTGGGAGCAGCCGGGTCCAGCACCTGGCAGCAGCGATTTTGGGTGGCCAAGAGGCCCAGGATGCCACCGAGGAGGGGAAATTGCTGATGACACCAGAGCTGGCCCTCAAGTAATTTAATTTGCGTCAGAGCGTGCCAGGGCTGGGGCAGCGCTGGCAACGTGAGCACCAGTGCTCACAGCCCGGCTGCAGCGAGAGCGGGCGCACGTGGAGGGCGCAGCGGTGTGGGGTGCCAGCCCTGCACTTTCCAGGGGATGAGGTGATTAGAGCCGAATCTCGTTACTGCTTAATCATCTCTGGGAGATGGTGGGGAGGGGCAGCAGCTCCCCGTGCCGAGTGTGCCCAGACCTGCCCCTGCTCTGCCCTCCCACCACACACGGGGACACGGCTCTGTGTCGAGGGGTGCAGGACCCTGGGGGTGTGTGCTGTGGCAGCATCGTGGTGGCACTGCTCCTCAGCACTGGTGTGGGCTGGGAAGCTCCATGTTGAGCTCTTTGGACTGTGGCTGTGACGCCACTGACTCGGGTTGAGCAAAGGCAGCAGCCTCCTTCACTCTCCTCCCTCAGCTCTGCACATTAAAGCTGTTCAGCTGCAAAATCAATGCTGTGGTGGAGGCCCAAAGTGGGGTCGAGCCCTCCTGTGCAGCGAGGGAGCAGCTCTCGGCACCCAAGGGCATCTCAGCTCGACTCCAGCCCTTCACCCGGCGGCTGCTTCACCCCCAGAGCGATGCTTAGAGCAAAGCTGTGACCTCCTGCCTTTTATTGTCTTTTTCTGCTTTTTATTTGCTGAGAGGGCATTGGCCAAGCATCACGCCTTCCCCAGCAGTGTGCCACGTGTTCTGGAGGGGTGAGGGACCCTCAACAGCTGTCTGCACTGCAGCAGGGACTGGGAGCCCCAAACCAGCTCCCTCCCCTCCAGCTGGGTCCTGTTAGGAGCGTGGCAGCAAGAGCTGAGTGTGGGCTGGGAATCGCAGCCCAGTGTCTGCCCGGCAGCTGGAGCGGGTGTTGGAGCCAGCACCCAGTTTGGCCCTGGGCCCCAGCCAGCTCACCAGGACCAGTCCTGCAGAAGCTACCTCATTACCCAACAGCTCTGGTGACAGCTCAAGGCAGGGCAGGTTGGGGAACAGGGGACCCCAGTAGGCAGGCAATGCAGAAAACCCCCCAACAAGGTTATGGGGACAGCAAGAGGGAGCACGGGGGGGTCGGGGTGCCCTTGGGGAAGCACAGCCTCCCAGGAGAAGTGGGGGCTGGTGAGCAGGACAGTGAGTCAAGGGTGGGGTGGGCACCCCAAGGCAGCTTCAGGGTGCTGAGCCCCCAGCTCTGCAGCCCCTAAGGTTGGGTGCTCACAGTGCTGCTGCGGCAAGCGAGGACGAGATCTCCATCGCTTGAACATTCGACTTAAAAACCGCCGAGAACCCGCAGCCCCCAGACAGATGGCAGCTCTGCTGGGGATTTTGCTGAAATTTATTTTCTCTTGATTTGGCAATATGTGATTTCCAACGCTGATAATCATCTTTGTGCTTGTGAAGTGTCTGCTTTTGGAGGATCCTAAAATAGGCATTGATATGAACCGGTTGGAAGAGGGGAAAAAAGAGAGGAGAGCTTGGGGTTGGGTCCATTTGAGGAAACTGCCCTCCCTTTCCTTTTGCTCTTTGTCCAGTGGTCATTCCATTTGTCTCTGGGAGGTGTCAGGTTTGTGGCAGCATGGACAGAGTTTCTGACCACGGCTGTCCTTGCTTTCAGGTGACCTTCACCAAGCGCAAGTTTGGCTTGATGAAGAAAGCCTATGAGCTGAGTGTCCTGTGCGACTGCGAGATCGCCCTCATCATCTTCAACCACTCCAACAAGCTGTTCCAGTATGCCAGCACCGACATGGACAAGGTGCTGCTCAAGTACACCGAGTACAACGAGCCCCATGAGAGCCGGACCAACGCAGACATCATCGAGGTGAGGCCACCCGTCCGCTCCCCGGCTCTGCTGTTGTGGTGGAGCCAGGGCTGGGTCTGGCACCCGCCGAACGCAGGAGGTTGGTGCAGGGTGGGGATGGAGCGAGCAGACCTTCCACACTCAGTGCCAGATGGATTTTGCATCATTTTGGTTCAGCCTACAAAAATACTCCATTTGGGTGGTAGAGTTGAAGCTGTCTCGAGTTATGTGTTGACCTGCTGCCTTGAAACTGAGGTGCAGGTTTGCTTTGTGGGACTTTGCTGTGGTCCAGACAAACCACGTGTTTGGAGGCATCTCATGGGGTTGCTGCACTGGGGTGCCTGGTGCAGCTGGTGGCATTGCCACAGTGTTCTGACAGGCACAGTGAGGTTGTGGGAGGGCACGAGGAGTTCAGATGAGAGGGACCTTGGGCGCCTCTAGTCCAGCCCCTGCTCAAAGCACGGCCAAGCTCACGGGTTGGTGGGGTTGCTCAAGGCTTGTCCATCTGTGTTTTGTGAGTCTCCAGGGATGACCCAACCAAGTCCAGTCTGACCCACCCTGGCACTGCCACTGACACGTCCAGACGGTGCTCATGCCAAGGCTGCTCTCTCCAGTCTGCTGGCATTGCAGGAGATGCTCAGCTGCCATGTGCTGTCAGTGCCCCTGTGCTGGCCCTCTCCACTGCTTTGTCCTCATCCCTGGTGCTGGCAGAGCCTCACTGGGCCCAAGCACACGGTGTTTGGCTCACACAAAGGTGCCAGCGGTGCCTCAGCCATTGGTCACATCCACGGAGATAGAGCTGTGGGGTCATCAGGTGCCATTAAATCTGGGCAAACGAAGGGCTTGGCTGGGTAATTAGCAGCATTATGGCATCAATTAATGCCTGCAGAGCCGCTGGTGACAGAGAGGAGCCCTGTGCTGCTGGAGGAATTGGGCTGAACCACTTCTGCCTTTGAATCCCTTTGGTGCGTCCTGGCCAGCATGCTCAGGCTTTGATTTCATGAAGGAGAAGGGAAAAAACCCAACCAGCCCCCTAAATCTTGCTTTCTTTTTGTTTTTTATTCTCTGTGAAATGTGTCTTTTTGAGAGGTTTGGACTTGAGGTTTTCACCTCGTTGTCCATCTAGTTGAGCCATGGCCAAGCATGTGGCAGCATCTGCCTTCCCTCGCTGGGGTTTGGAGACTCTTCTGCCACCGCACAGTTGCGTGGGGGCCTTAGAAATGGTTCAGAAATGTCCTTTTTGGCCCATTTGAGCCAGGTGATGCCCCTTCTCTCTGAAGATGCTCGGGTTTTGCAGGCATGTTTCCCTGCCATGCTCGCCAGCGCAGCCTCTCCGGGATGCTCAGACTGCGGCGCTTGCAGCGCCGAACAGATTTGTCTTGGCCTAAAAATACCGTAAACATTTTGGGCAGCGTTCTCTGTTCCCGTATGGTCCAAGATGCAAACACTCCCAAGCCGACAAGTTACACACAGTCCTTGGCACCCAAAGAAACACTGTGTTTGCACCACATGAAAAGCTGGATCTGCATCCAAAGCCAAGGAGAGGAACATCGGGAGCGGAAGGATATTGGTGGATGGCAAGAAAAAGAGCTCAAACACGCTGGGCTCGGCACATCTTGCTGGCAGAGCTGTCACGGAGCGAAACCCACTGGGGTGAAGGCAGGTCTGGAGGCTGCTCAAGCTTCCTTCCTCATCTTCATCTTGTCTTGGAACAGCGTTAGGGCTGCTCTAAGATTTTTACCGGTTTCTCTCCCACATCCATGCCCCCAGGAGACCATTCCTGCTCCTGGTGCTGATTTCCATTTCCCCTCGCCCAGGTCAGGTCCCACCAGCCCAGCTGTGTCCCCACTGCACACAAACCCAATTTATCTCATGTTTCTTGGTGTCTCCCAGTTGAACATGACTCCCAGAAAGTATCTTCACATTTCAGAAGTTTCCCGTGTTAAGCATTTAGAGACCCTGAAGGTTGAGGCTGGGAATTTGTCACCAAATATGATTTTAAGTGGATTTCAAGGACCCACCTTCCCTGTGATGCCCACAGCCCCTTCCTGCTGAGGGATGCAGCTCTGAGGGACTCTGGCATCATCTCAGGAAGGATGAGGAGCAGCTGGGACCTGGGGGAATCAAGGCAGAAGCCTCCTGATTTTGTTTTCCTGGTGGAGGGGGAGTGGGTGGTGGCTCCGGAGGTTGGGCACTGTTACCACAGCTCAGGGCAGGACAAGTTGCTCTGTCCAAATTATGTTTTAAAACAACAGTAAACGTGAGGATCTCCTGGTTTTTGGCCGTGGGGAGAGGCATCTGTGTGGGGAGCACTGGAGGCACCCCAGCCCATGCTGCACAGGAATGCCCTGGAGCAGTTTATCCCCCTGGATATTTAGCGGGAGGCAGAGCTGCTCTGGGATGAGCGTACACAGCCCTAGTTCAAGAGGGGTTCCACACCCCCTGACTGCCTTTTGGGGACCATCCCCCACGGGGGCATCCCTGTGTCTCAGCCGTGCCAGGGCTCAGCAGTGGCTGTCGTGAGCGGGATTCAGCCACGCAACCCCTGCGGCTTCTCCGTGCCCGGCAAAGTCCTGGCTGTTGGAAGCTTTTAAGTCTGAGAAAATCTCTCTAATGCAGAGAGGGGGGTTTCCTTAATCAGGCGGGGGACAGCTGAGCCCCCAGACAGGCACGCTGGGTGCCACGTGCGCGCCCGGCCTGGGATCACGCCGGCTTTGCTCCTCGCTGTCGCTTCTCGTTTCCTCTCAGCCCGGCTGACGTGCCAGTTTCTGATAAGGGACTTGGGCAGAGCAGAGCTCACTGGGCACTGGGATGCTCCACAGCCAGTTAAAGCCACACAGCCGTTTCTGTCCTTTCCTTGGCTGAATGTTCTGCAGGGGGGCTGATTTTCCCCTAATTCTCCTTCCTGGAGTTGTCATTCCCCAGGATGTGTAAAATCAGGCATTTTGCAGGATGCTGGGGAGGCGGCGAAGTGCAGAGGCAGCTGCCAGTGTCGGATCTTCATCCTCATCCTCATTCTCATCCTTATCCTCGTCCAGACTTCCCCAAAGCCCAGGGTGGTTGAGTCTCCCTCCTCTAAGGGAAGTCAACCACATCCTGGTCAAGCATCGTTTCCTCTCACATGTTCTGCATTTCCTGCTGCTCTCTCACGCTCTTCAGGTTGGAAGTGTGCTCCTGTGTGAGTCGGGATCATGGGAGTGGGAATATTTCCTGGAAAAGAAGGACCTGCAGTGGATCCTGATAGAATGGGGGTCCTGGGGGTGGCAGCGAGAGGGGCAGACGATGAACGAGGTCAGTTTTTGCTGTGGGAAGTTCTCACCCTGGTTTTCTCCTCTGAAAATTTTCTGCTCGGAAAGAATTGCTTTTAAGTCTCTTTTATATGAAAAATAGTCGTGTTCCACTGGCTGCAGCCCAGTGACAGAAAGGTTTCCTGAAAACCTCTTTGTATCTTCTGTTTTTACCCTGGCAAAGAGAATGACGAGGAATGAGAAGGAAAGCTCTTTTCTAAAGGACCTTGCAGAGATCCCGAAAACAGGAATCTTTGAGTTTGATTCCCGCTCCAGTAGGATTGTTTTCCTTTTACATCATCTTAAAAAGCTAAAAATGTGGGACACACATTTTTTTTGTCAAAAAAAATGAAAGAACCAGCAGCCAATGCCCGTATGGCTGAAAATGGCATTTTGTTGTCCCAAACCTCTCGTTGAGCAGCAGATTGCTGCGAGCTGGGCTGCCTTGGCTCGTGTCCTGCTGCGACTCGGGCCCTGGTCACTCACCGCCGCCGGTGCTTCCCGTCCCACCGCGCTGCAGATCAGCCCCGTCCTCGGCTGTGCCAGCTCTGGAGCTCGTCCCCTTCCCCTTCCCCGCAGCTCCAGCATCCCCTCGCTGTGGCCAGGGTTACAGGCAGGGTTACAACAGGCTTGGGGCGGGGATGACAGCGCTGCAGCAGCCCCTCACAGCTCGGGGTGCTCCAAACCCGCCCAGGCAGGGAGCTGTGGGTCTCACAGACAATGAAGTTATGACTGATTTTAAGAAGTTGGTGGCTGGGAAGAGCGAGGAGACCAAGGTAAGGCTGTGTTGGGCACTAAATATGTTAGACCCACAGAGGAAGACCTTGGGAAAGGCAAAGGGCAATGCTGTGAGCTGTTTCAGGGTCTAGGTGAGCAGAGCCACATCCACCCCATTCCACTGCTTTCCTTGACAGCCTTGTTGAGGAAGCAATTCCTGGGATGATTTCATGAGGACTTAGAAATGGCAGAATACTGCGGCTGGTGGCAGCAGCCCCTCACTCATCCCTGCTCTTGGTTTGGGTGGCGAATGGGGGGCAGAGGCAGGGGCACTGGGAACTGTCTAAAACATCCAGGCCTCTGTGTCATTGCTGCAGGTTTTAGGAAGGAGAAGGATGTTTTTGCTTGGCTGAAACCTCTTAAAAATTCTGTTGTGAGGTTCCCTCCTTCGAAGGTCCCAGGGGATGGCCATGGCTTGTCCATTCCCACAGCTTCTGAACCTGCCAGCAGCTGTTGCTGGAGGAGAGGAGCTTCCAGGGATGCAAGGGATTGCTTTCCCAATTCCCAGCCAGGGATGGGAGGGCAGAGGTGTGAGGTCCAGTTCCTGTCCCTGCAAAAGGAATCGTGGCGAGATGGGCACAGCCCCTGAGACACCGGAGAGTCTCCCCAGCACCCGAAGGAAACCCAGCCTCAACCCTTCTGCTGATCATGGAACAACTTTTTCCATTTTTCCTCTGAAAGAGAAAAAGGAAAAAACTCTTTTTTTTTTTTTTAGAGAAAAGCTCAACTTTCCGTCTTTCAGCTGCATTGGTGAAACAAAAGGTTTTGGAAAAAAAAAATCCACAAAAAGCGGTTTCAAAAAAAAAAAGAAGGCTAAGCTGTTCCTTCCCCACCAGCAGTGCCTCTTCCTCTTTTGGGCCATTCTGAGAACAAACAAGGACACATAAAAAAATAGAAAAATAGTAGGGAAAAATCCTCGGGAACCTGCAGAACGAGCCCTGGGAATGTCCCATTCATGGCAGTGACTCCAATGCCCACTGCCTTTCTCTATAGAGGGACAGCAGAGGAACTTGCGGTACCAGGAATTATTAGGAATATTATTGTTGTGTATAAGAATTATTCAGAATCATTATTATTAGGTAATTAGTTAATAGTTATTAGGTAGCAGGAATTACTGGTAATGCCAAGCAGAGTGTCAGATGCCACTGTGGCCAGGAGCGAGCCTGGTCCTTCACTGCTGGAGCTGGACCTGGACGAGGACATTTCCCTTCTGTGACTGAATCCAGCAACGAGAGTGAAAATGGCGCCACAGAAGGAGTAATTTTAATGGAAAATATTGTGAAAAGCTTCAGCTGGATGGAGAACAGGCTGGGGGTGGGTGTGGTGCCCATTGCTTGGCCGTGGCCACCTGGCACAAGCATCCACTAAGCCAGGCCTGCAGGAGAAGCCTACCTGCGGCATTCCCAGCCTTTCTGGAGACATCCCGGTTTTTATTCTCTCCAGCAAAACTTCCCCTACAAGCCCTGTGTTTCCCAGAGCTCACAGGTAGTGGAAGAGCCACTCCTGAACACACTTTGGCCTCAGAATGGAGATGTTTATTGCTGTTTAGGAAGACAGAGAATTGTCAAGACTTTTTTCCCCCCCCACTGCTGGTTTTGGCATGAAAAGGGACCGAGACTTCCAGGAAATTCTGTAGCTTTGACTTCTAAAAAAAACTGAGTTGGCAAGTGCTGGTTCCATCATAACGCCTGATTGCTTTTGTTATGTTGAAAATAGAGTGATTGAATGTGGATCTCAACTGGCTGCTGAGCACGAGCGAGGGACTTTGGGGTGTCACTGTCCCCTGTGCATGGCCCAGACGGGCGGTCACTGGGCTCCTCCTAACGAGGAGATGTCACCTTGTTACCTTGGTGCAGCAATGCTGGGGACCTTTCCTGCTCGTGAGTCCAGTCTTGGCGTGGGGTTTGCTGCCCAGTGTTGTCACCGTCACCCCCCTGTGCCACCCCCAGCAGAGCTCTCAGCTGTCACTGTGCCACATGCCCTGTCCTGTGATGCTCTTCCTGTGGCACCTTTGTGTTTGGTAAATGCCACCCATCTGGTTTTGTCAAGGATGAGCTACTCTTTGCTTATAATTTTGAGTTTTATTTTTCTGTTTGTGAGCAGGTTTTCCCTGGTTTTTGCAGTAAAGCAGAGAGCATTAAGGTTTATTTCCCCTCCATGATGTGGTACTTGTAGGTGACAAATGTGCCTGAGCTGGTGTGGGGCCAAATTCAGCTCCAGCATAAACAGAGCCTTTGAAAGCAAGGAAGTTTCTCTCCATTCCTCCCTGTACTGTAATTCCTAAATTAGAGATGCCCTGTCATCAAAACCTAGGATCTCTATCCTGACTTTTTGACCCTGTTGAGGTCAAGAGCATCTTGGGGCCATGGTGTTGATTTGTGTGAGGGCAAGTCGTGATCCGTCCGGGCTGGTGGGTGTTCTGGGGGGGACCTGCCCGTGCTCCCCATCCCACTCCTGGATCTCAGACTGTCACGGTTGTGTTTTCAGACATTAAGAAAGAAAGGTTTTAACGGCTGTGACAGCCCAGAGCCCGACGGTGACGACTCCATAGACCAGAGCCCTTTGATGGAGGATAAATACCGCAAAGGCAGCGAGGATCTGGATATCCTGTTCAAGCGATACGGTGTAAGTACCTGCCCATGGCTGGAAAACCCTCATTATATGTTCTTTTCTGTTTTGTTTCTCTTCTGTTCGACTTCCTCCCAACCTCGTCCCCTGCTCCCTCCCCGACACCCCCCGTGTCCCCCCAAACGTAACAGGCGCTGAACAAGAAGCACAGGGAGTGCGAGAGCCCGGAAGGGGATGAAGTGTTTGCGCTGACCCCGCAGACGGAAGAGAAATATAAAAAGATTGATGAGGAGTTTGATAAAATGATGCAGAGTTACAGGCTCGCAGTGAGTAGCTGGTGGCCTGCAGCCCCCCGGTCCCCTCCCCGGTCCCTCCAGGTGACGGGGGGTGGATTTTGCATGGCTTTGCTTCGGAGCCGTGCCATGCCTTGGGAGCCGATGCCCGCAGCCCCCACAGCCCCGAATGCAGCCAGCTCTGACAGGTGAGATGCACGAGGGGCCTTGAGGGTCCCTCCTGTTTCCCACCCTTGAGAAAACGGTTCCCATTAGCTCCAGTGTCCTGAGCTTTCCTAGCTCTGTCTGGACAGTGTAGGAGGATATTGTCTCTCTTCCCTCCTCTGCTGCAAATACTGAATTAGGGCCTCCTTTTTCACCTTCTTTTCCCCACAAAAAGAATTTTTGTTTGGATTAAGATTCCAATGTTCATGCGAGCTGGTGGTGGGTGCCGACCCCTCACATCCCTGCAGGGCTCAGCCCGTTTTGGGCTGTTTCACATTAATTCCCCCCAAATCCACCGAGCCCTCGGGGCAGCTGGTGGCCGTGGCAGAAATCCAGGGAGGTTTTAGCCTGTGATCCCAGAGCTGTCACCAGCACCGGGGTGGCATCAGGACAGTGCTGAAAGGGATTTGTGTCAGGAGACAGGAGGAGGAGGGGGACGTGTTTCAAATTAGTTGTTAGTTCAAGGGAGCAGAGACTGTCGATGCAGGCAACGGCTTTTCAGGGGGATTAGCCCCGAGTTGCTGCAGCCATAATTAATGCTGTGGGAGCAGGAGGGAGGCTCCTTTTCCAGGGGTGGATGCAGCACAGCAAAAATGACACACACCCCCCCCAGCAAAATAATCTGTCCTTCTGTGCTTTGCAAAGCCCCCACAAGTTAAAATTCTGGCTTTTCTCAAGAGCTAGGTCTTGTGAAATACCCAGTTTTTATTTTGCTGACTCAGTGCTGTGTTACTCCAGGAACCTCGCAAGGACCCCAAAATCTGCATCTCCATCCCTTACATCTTGGGGTGGAGGGGGTGAGGAGACTACTCTGAGACCTGGGAGGGCTGAGGAGTGGAGAAGAGTGGGGTGCAGGAGGTGATGGTTGCTCGCAAATCTGCTGTGACAGTAAGCCCAGGCCCACGGGTGGGTTCAGGGCAGGATTAGCTCTGGTGAGGCTTGGTCTAACTCATCCTCCCTGGTTTCACTAGTGGGGGCCAGGTGTCCACCTTACCAGGGCTTGTGTGGTGTGGGTGTACAACCCCAGCTGGACGTGCACCTCCCTAGCACCTGGCACAAGCCCTGCCACTAGCACAGAACAGGCCCAAAAGCCACCTGAGCTTTCCCCTTGCTCAGCCTCAGTACCTATCTGCTACAGAGGGAGGGCTCCCAGCAGACCCTCGTCATCCAGACATGCCAATCCAGAGGGACAATCCCAAAAGTCCTTACGGCTGATGGCATTCAGGCACTGGGCGGCTCCTGGTCAGGGCGAAGCATCCGGCTCCCCCACTAAACCTCCCTGGCAGCGAGGGGCCGAGCGGTGCAGGTGGAGCGTGTGCGGTTGAAGATGACGCTTTTCCATTTTAACTGCTGGGTTGGTTTGGTGTGTGACCAGAACTAACCCGACAGGGTGGCCGGGGCAGCTTAATGACAGCTGTGTCTGCTAACGAGAGGCCTTGACGGGGCTTCTGCCTCTGGTGTTTGTCCTTGCTTCTAACGAGAGCGGAAACCCTGGAGTTTGGCTGACGTGTGCATCTTCTCCCCCAAACTTTGGACCAATATGCAAACCACTGTCCCAAGCTGTGCCCTCCCTGGGGCAAGGGGAATCTGGTGGCCTGGGTGTGTGTTGCTGCACGCTGGGGCAGCATCAGCCTGACGCTGGTCTGCAGGTGCAGTGGGATAGAGCTGAATTAAGGCAAACCTCGGCTCTCGGGCCGGTGTATCCACCTCCTGGCTCTATCACTCATGCTGCGTTGCAGAGGGGGTTTAGATCTTCCTCTCCCTCGCTGGGAATGTGCACGCACACAGACGTGTTGGCAGTGATTTATTACACAACGCTGCTCCGGTGTTCGTGCGACGCCCAAGAAACCTTCCTCCTCTGGTTCTGCTGCTGTGCAGGATGAGGTCCTGGGGCTGAGCAGAGGGAGGGCTCCACGTTCTGGCTCTCCCCAGCAGCGTGGGGATTGCCGAGCCCTGCCCCTGTGAACGGGAGCAGTGCTGCAGCGCAGGCTCAGAGCCGCCGTCCTCGCAGCTTGGCTGCGACCACGGGATATCTCTGAAGGACGGGGTGTCCTTGGAGGCAGGTGGGGAGGGTTCCTGGCAGCGAGGCGTGGGTGAGCGCCGTCCCACTCCTTCCTCCCATCCTCCCTTCTGCCACCAAGGTGCAGCACCCGTCCAAGAGCAGATTTCTGGAGGGGAAGGGGCCCCAGGGCAGCAGCCTCCATCCAGCTGTAGTGGGGAGATTCTCAACTCCCTCTGCCCTCACCAGAGCAGCCTCTGGGGTCCTGGGTCTGGTCCTGCCATGGTCCCATCCAGCGCCGGGCTACTCTGCCTCTCCATCCCTGAGCAAATTAAAGTGGGACTTTAGCAAAGCCCCTGCTAAAGCTTCTAAGCAGGTGCCCGCTCCTGTTAACGAAGAGCAAATCAGTGACATAAGACAGACAGCCCGGATAATCGCAGCGGGTCTGGCTCCCACGGGGACACCGGTAGGTGAAGCTGGTCCTCGACCTGCAGCCAAGGATAGGGCTTTAGCGATGCTCCTGCTTCCCTGGGGTCAGCTCCTCCTTCCCAGCAGCTCCCAGAGGAGCCAGGGTAGATGACAGTGTCACCTGGGGGCTGTGTGGAGCAAAATGAGTCTTTCCCAGGTGCTCGGCCACCAGCACCAGTGCCAGCCCAAACTGACATCCACTGTTGGCTCCTTGGAGGGCTCTTTCCACCCCGCTGGATGAGGAATGGCCTCATAAAACCCCTGCTGGCTCTTGGAGTGAAGGGTAGTGCCGAGCTTGGCCACTGTTGGTGCTGGTGGGGCAGACCACTGGGGTGCTGCCCATCTTCATGCTCTGGGATGTTCTCAGCTTCTCCTCTGTGGCTGCCCTGAACACACTGAGGGTAAATAAATAGTCTGAAAACGAGGCCAAAACAGCAGGTTGCAGAGCTCTGGTGTGTCCGAGGGGACAGCCCATTGCTCTTCCCATGTTCCCTGGTGAAGTCTGGGGTCTGGTGCATCCTCCTGAAGGGCCAGTGTGGGTTCAAGCACAGCAGTGCAGGCCAGCAGTGAGATGGAGGTTTGGGGACCCTGGCTGTCCCTCCTTGGTCAGCAGTGGGTGTTGCTGCTGCTGTGCTGCAGGAACTCGGCTCCGGCTGCCCTTTACCCCCCACTCTCTGTTCAGTCCGCAGTGCCCGCTCCCAACTTTGCCATGCCCGTGACGGTGCCGGTGACCAACCAAAACACGCTGCAGTTCAGCAACCCGGGCAGCTCGCTGGTGACCCAGTCCCTGGTGACCTCGTCGCTGACAGACCCCCGGCTCCTGTCGCCGCAGCAGCCGGCACTGCAGAGGAACACGGTGTCCCCGGGGCTGCCGCAGCGGCCAGCCAGCGCAGGTGAGCCACGCCGTGACCCTTCACACCCTCCCCTCCCCATCCTCCCTGCCCAGAGCCTGGCTGGGCATGCAGCACCCAGCACAGGGCATCCCGGGTGGCAGGGGACGCCCCTGCTGCCTCCATCCCCTACCCAGGGGTCCATGTCCCAGCATCCGTGGGTGGCAGGAGCAGCCTGGAAGTGTTGTTGCCCCTGGCTGTGTGCTCCTGTCCTCTTGCCAGAGGTTGATGCCCCCAGTTTGCGCCTTGGCCCCAAATGAAGGGCAACCCCCCCGCCTTACCCAGATCTCTTTGAGAGCTGGATCCCCGCAGGGATCTGTTTCAAGGTTGGACAGCACAAGATGAGTCACCCAGCGCCATTCCCAGGCTTGGGGGTGGCTGTTGGCATCCCGCTTGCCGGTGGCACTCCGGTGACATGGGACTGCTGCCTAAAAAGGGCTGTTCTGAGTCGGGCCGGGCTGGTTGCAGTTGGTCCCAGTGATTACTCATGTGGCTCTGCTGACAGATTGGAGGAGCCATCATTTCCAGCAGGGACCGGTGATGGGTGGCGGAGGGCGGGGTGGGGGAGAGGAGTTGTCACCCGTGTCCCCTGCAGTGCCGGGGGGGGCGACGAGGACGACGTGTGACCACAGCCCAGCTCTCCCACAGTGCGATCATAAATAATAATAGCGTGCAGAAAGCCCCTGCCTGCTATTTTGGGTGTCACAGATGGTCTGTGAAAGTTGCATGGGCTGCAAAATGGCAGAGCCGGTGCCTGTGACTGCCTGGACGTCTGGGCGGTGGGTGCTTGGCTCTGGCCCCCCAGAGCTGTGAAAGCTCGGGGGGGCTCTGCAAAGGGGGTGGATTTGGGGAGAAGGGCTGGGAGGTGCCTCCAGAAGCACGTTATATGGTGGGTTGGGGCGAGCACAGCAAATTGCCTGGCTGGGATGCAGTAGGAGCCATGGTTCAGAGATGGCTTGTTTGCTCACTGCTCTCCCCTCAGGGGGTCTTTGAGGTGCCTTGAAGTGCTCAGGTATCAGTATCAGGATGAAGCCCCAGACTTGCAGGACAGGGCTCATTCCGTTCTAAGCCTGGTCCCACAGAGCAGCATCTCACTGCAGACAGGGCAGCAGAACCCTCCTCAGGCACGGGCAGCCAGCGCTCTGGCTGCAGGGATCTCCGCCCTCTCACAGGCCCCTCGGCTGAGAACAGAAGAGGCTCCCTGGTAAAACAGACCCCGCTGGGGGCTCGCCGTTTCCAGCTCGCTCGCTGCTCGTTTGAGGGGGATCATTTTGTGGTTGCGAGTGCAGAGGTGTTCCAAGTCCGGCCATCTGTGTCTCATTCGCTCGCTGCCTGGGACACAGAAGAAATCCTGCGTGTGGGAGCCAGGGCCTCGCATGTTAGAAAAACTCCCTTTTTTCCCTTAAATTTTTTTTTTAGCACTGCACCGGAGCTGGGAGTGTTGTTTCCAAAGCAAATGCGCAGCGAGTGCTGGGTGGGTGCCTTTGCACTGCCCAGTGCCATCGGTTCGGGGGTGGGAGAAGGGCAGACAAGGGGTTGTATAGGGCTGGGAGCAGGGTTGGCATCACTCACCCAAGGGAGTGAGCTCACTTCAGCAGCCTGGGCACCAGAGGCTGGGGTGCAAGTGGAGTCCCACAGCAGGGCACAGCCCTAAAATCCTGGTGGGTTCCCTCCTCCAGGACTTTAGAGGCACCAGGACCTCTGGCTTTACAGCCCCGTTCCTTGAAGGGAGGATGCTGTGGTGACATGTCTGCCACATTTTGTGGGTCACCTTGCCCTTTCTCAAGCTCTACAATATTTGGGACCACTTCTGTTCCCAACCCTGCTCCCATGTGGGGAGCAACTGTACTACCCTGCACAGCAATGGCTCAGCCCTCCTGCCTTCCTCCCGGTGTCAGGGGCTCTCTGCAAACCTGAAGCCAAGAGCCATGGGCTGAATAAAGGTTTCTGTCTCAGGTTTCCCCATCTGGGTTGAGAAGGGCTGGGCGGTGGTTAGAGGTGGGGTTTGGGATCGGAGGCTCCTTGTTCCCCAGCCCAGGGCTCCAGGATGACTGCGGTTGCAGCTTCAGAGCCTCCGTGCCGGCTGTTGGCCACAATCGCCGCCCCCGGCGTAGCCAGGCAGCCCCAGCTGGGGAATAGGTGGCTTTCAGAAGTGACTCCATAACATGGCAGAAAAAAGTCAAATCTTCTTGCAGGAGAGGCAAAATGTTCAGTTTTTTGGGAATGTAAAAGCCCCCTGTCTGTTTTTTCCTGGCCTGGTGGGGAGTGGCAGCACTTTCCAAGCGTTGGGACCGTGGGAGGCCGGATCGTAGCAGCATCCTGGCAGTGCAGGGATGGTTTCCATTCGGCGTGAACATTACAGGGGGGATAGTGTTTCACGTCGTGCTGCTGGGGCTCTCTTCCCCAGCAGCACCGGCCCCGTGTCCCCCAAAGGGGGGCTTGGAATAAAATAGCCGCAGTGTTTTCCAAGCTGCCTCCTTTGGAGCAGGCTCCTGTGCACCTGGCTCCTTCCCAAAGGAAACGGATCTGCCTGGATAATGTTTCCCAACCTGATCACCAGGAATGCTGCTCGTTTCACCCAGGACTTTCTCCTCGGTGCCGCAACCCCACTTATATTCCTCTGCTTTCCTCCATTGTGCTCCTCCCCCACTTCCTGCTCCCCAAAAGTAGGGATGCTCACCCTGTTTCTGTGTGGATGGTGACCCCGTGTTTCCGGTTGCTTTGCAGGGGCGATGCTTGGGGGAGACCTGAACAACACAAACGGAGCCTGCCCAAGCCCTGTGGGTAAGTGAGGAACCTTTCAGCCCTATGCCCAGGGCCCCGTGTGCCACTCCTGCCCATGGTTTCCCCATGGAAAGGAAAGGATAGGATTTTGCTTTGCTATTCAGCGGGAAGCGCTGGGGAAAATTTTGCTGCCATTGGCAGTGGGAGAAGTTGGCATGTGGAGCTCTAGCCTTTGTGGGGAGTGCTGGTTTCAGTGAAGACCCCAGAGACTGAGGCGTGTCCATCTCCCCTGGGTCTCTGGGATTGCTGAAGATCAGAGAAGTGATCCCCGAGAACCAGGATTTGGGCAGCACTGGGTTTAGCTCCTCACGCTGCAGCCAGTTCCCCCCCTGACCTCAGGTGATCAATTAACACTCAGTTCCTCCTCACGCTTGGGCCCTGTAAAGCAACTTTACTGCAAGGAAAAAAGCTCATTAAGGTCCCTTTCCACTGCGAGAGCCTCAATGCTAACAAGGCTCAGGCCTTGTGGCTCAGCTCCCTGGCTGTAAAATGCATTAACAACATCTCCATCCCCATGTCTGCCTCTGCCATCTGCAGGCTGAGGGTGTCAGCCCAGTGCTGTGTGGGCACAGCACAAAAACCAGTGATGGCCCCAGGTCCTGCTGGGAAGCTGCTGCAGGCCATGGGCTTGGGCTTGGGCTTGGCAGGGTGGATGCCATCCATCCCGGGGTGAAGGCAGCCTTGCTCCAGGAGCATGGTTTCTCACACCCTCCAGGCCTTTTTGCAGCAGGGCTCCAGCTGACAGCACAGAGTAGGAGTGTGAAATTCCACATTGCCCCAATTAAAACCACATTGGAGCTGGGTCCCGCCGGTTGTGTGGATGGGGCTGGTCCAGTTGCGGTTCGGCAGCACTGTGGCCGCCTGTCCCTGTGCCCTGCACCACAGCCCCTCCTGGGAATAGTCTTTTCCCTGTGCTGGGCAGCAGCCATGCCAGTGCCAGCGGGATTTCTTCCCAGCTGCGCCTCCAGAGCAGCCCCTGCCAGGGCGGTTTGGGAGGCTGCATCTCCTCGGGGCCTCGCAGTGCCCGACACGAAGCTTTGCTGCTCCTTGAGGGCAGAGGGAAGGGGCCGTCGTGCCCCGGCCGCCAGGCACCTTGGCGGCCCCGGTCCCCCCGCCGCCCCCACGTCAGCTGTCGGGAGCAGCCGTGGCGGTCGGAGCTTGGCAGGGCCCGTGAATGTCACCATTGACGTCACCGGAGCATTCCCCGCGTTCCTGCCGCCACTGCAGGAAACGGGTGTGAGGAGCAGGGACAGCCCGGCCGGGGCCAGCCCCGGACCCCCGCTGTCCCCGGCCCCCTGCCCGCCCCGGGGCTCCCCTCACGGCTGCGGGAGGGGAGCGTGGCTCTGGCTCTGGCTCTGGCACTGCGCTTGCGGTTTTCAGATACCTGGGACATCTCTTCCTCCTCCTTCTCCTCCTCCTCCTCCTCCTTGCAGTCTCTGCAGCACTGAGTGATCACCTGCTGCCTCTGAGTCATCAGCTGCGGGTGCCTCTGGCTGGATCCTGCAGCGATGTATCCCGGCTGTATCCCGGCTGTATCCCTGCCCGTGCACCACAGCGTGTGCCACCCTCGGGATGCGGCACCCGGCCCACCCTGCCTGCCCCGAGAAGGGGATGCTGAGCCCTGGCTGTCCCCAGTTTGCTCAGATTCACACTGGGGTGGTGCAAAGGCAGCCCAGAGTGCTTCACTTTTAGACCTCTTTTTTGGGGGGTGGGGCCTTTGCTGGGAAATCCAGGCAGGAGCACAGCCCTTCTCTCTCTGGCTCACTGGGGTGGCCAGGTCCAGGCTGGGTGGAGACAGTGATGACAATGCTCAAGGCCACCTGCCTTTTGGGGTGAGTGGCAGCACTGAAACCCAAACCAGCTCCCCTCCAGCACAGGGGCCACCCCGATCCACACCCCAGGTGACGCACACGATAACGTGCCATGCCTCAAACAGGGAGTCACCATGAGAGCCACGTGTGTACCCATGTTGGTGCCACCTTGGGCAGGAGAATATCAAGGGGTTTAACATTTCTTTTGGCTTATCCATGGCCACTGGCACTGTGGGTAGCAAAGGTCACCCGGGGAATTTCTGCACCTTTGTTGTTAATAAATCTAAAAGCCAGTGGCCTTGTGAGCGGGACACTGACAGCTCACGGTACCGGGACCTGATGCACCAGGCACATGCCTTATGCAGGGCTGTTCACAGTGATTCAGGCCTGGAGGACACCTCACTGGGGACAGGAAAGCTGGTCCTCTCCCTCCATCAGGAACATGGATACTGGAGTTGCCAGCCTGCAGCAGCCTGGCCACCACGGGCATCCCTGATGGCAGCTCCCAGGCGCCTGGTGGGGCAGCACCTCCCGTCCCTGGCGGCATCGGTGGCATCAGACCCGTGGCTCCCAGGGAGCGTGGCCGTCCCCTGTGCCTGGTTCACCCCATCTCCGCTGCGTTCAGCCCCGGGACAGCTCTGGAGAGGCAGTGGCTGGCACTCGGCCCCCGCACGCTGCGGCTGCGGCGTCACTGCCACAGCCGCCTGCTGAAATGCAGATGCAGCGCAATGGTAGATGTGATTAATAATGCAATCAGCGACCTATTTTTCCTGGTCTAACGTGCAATGAATATGAGGGCTGAATCCTGGTGATTGCTGAACGCCTTTCTATCTTTGGGGCCTATTCAGAAAAAAAAAAACAACCCTCATCAGAACAGTAATCTGATCCAATTTATTCCTTTCCTGATGTTCATCAAATCTTTTCCTTTTTAATTTTTTTCTTCCTTTCCTTTCTTCTTTTTTTTCCCCCTCTTTGCACATAAAATCCTTAAGTGGGGCATCAGGAGGAGGAGGAGGAAGGAACCTCAGATCTTCAGAGGGGCAATGGGAGCAGTGAACTGAGTCCTCACTTGGCCATAGCCCCTTTTTGCTGCTCTGGTACCATAAGGAGACCTTACAAGTGAATGTGCCAGTAATTAATTACCTGCCATGGCAGAGCCGTGGTGCCCGGCCAGAGCATGTAAAGAGCCTCTGATCAGGCCTCTGAGATGTACCAGGTGTTACTGCAGGAACAAAAGGGAGTTCCTGCAGGTTGAGGAGCTGCCCTGGGCACTGGGGACTCGGGGCCACTGCCTACCCTGCCCTCACCCTGCAGGGTGAGCCTGCCTGGGTGTGGGAGGGTGTTGGGGAGCCTGGGGGGATGAGGTGCTGCTCTCCCTGGGAGGAGCATCCATGGAGCCCCGCTGTGGCACTGCTTGCTGTGCATGTGTATTCACCATCACCATGTATTTACCACCATGCATTCACCACTGCCATGCGTTTGTAGAATCATAGAATCATGGAATGATTTGGGTTAGAAGGGACCTTAAAGATCATCTAGTTCCAACCCCCTATCATGGGCAGAGACACCTCCCACTAGACCAGGTCACTCCATTCTGGCCTTGAACACTGCCAGGGTTGGGGCATCCACAACCTCCCTGGGCAACCTGTTCCAGTATCTCACCACCCTAACAGCAAAGAGTTTCATCCTAATATCCAGCCTAAATGTCCCTTCTCTCAGTTTGTACCTGTTCACCACCATGCACTTGCCATTGCCGTGCTTTCACTGCCGTGCATTCTCCATCACACCATGAACTTACCTCCTTCATCTCTGTCACCCATTTTCCTGCAGGAAATGGCTACGTGAGTGCCAGAGCCTCGCCGAGTCTCCTTCCTGTGTCCAATGGCAGCAGCCTGGGCAAGATCATCCCAGCCAAGTCCCCACCGCCACCCTCGCATGGGACGCAGCTCGCTGCCAACAGCCGCAAGCCAGACCTGCGTGTGATCACCTCGCAGAGCGGGAAGGGGCTGATGCACCACCTGGTGAGTGCCCGTGGGTCTGTCGGGACACCAGCTGGGGTGGGAGCGGGTCCCCTGGCAGTGGACAGGCCGCAGGGGGACTCGGTGCTGGAGCAGATGCAGGGCAGGCGCCTGTTCCATGCAGTAGTAGTGGAAGCTGGCTGGGGCTGTGCCGGCAGGGAGATCTGAGGAGGAAGGTTTGGATTCCCATTGTGGTGCCGGCGAGCGCGGGGTGCGGCGGGGATGGGGCGCTCGAGTTAACGGTGCCTCTCGGTTCTCTCCCTGTTCTCCCGCGGGCAGACCGAGGACCACTTGGCTCTGGTGAGTTCCCTCTGAGTGTGCATGGCGGCAGGGTGGGACGTGGGCCACTTGTCCCCCTTGGTCCCCACACCCTGCCCTGGCTTGACGGAGGCGTGGAGCATGCGGAGGGGGTGGACACTGGCTCCTTTGCCCTCCGTTGGGAATGTGGTGGGATGTGGGCACCAAACACACATCCAGTCCTGCCTCAGAAAATCAATCCCAGGAAAAATGCACTTATAGGAAAATCGAGTACCCTATGAAAAAGAAGGAGCTGACATGAGCTGTAAAGCACCTGTTTCTCTACCAAGGCCAAAAGAGTTGTGCTGGTCACCCCAGGGAGGTGAGCCAGGGTCCCTTTGGGGGCTGTAGAGCCAAGCTGGGCACCGCCACTGGCCTGGACCTGCCCCATGGGCTTTGCTGGAGCCACCACAGTTACAGCACGGGAAGACCTGGTCCATTGCCAGCACATGAGAGACAGGGAGTAAATCAGGCTCTTCCCATATTAAGGATATTATTTAAAGCCTGTGTAAATCCATGGGCTGGCTAGTGCAGTCCCTAAACCTCCCTTGTGCACGGGGCACTTTTCCGTGTTATTTTTATGGCTTTTTTTTCCTCTTCCTGCCAGCAAAGTGAATGCCACCTTGTTTGTGGCAATGATTCACTCTGCTCCGTTGCTATTCTGGTGCAGGGCAGATGGGCGACAGGTCAGCGCAGCGAGGGAAGGGCAAGAGCTGCTGCAGGATGCAGATCACAGCCGGGGAAAAGCTCTCCAAAACACAGGAGTAAGCCAGTCCCTCTGGCAGCCTGCAAGGAGACACTCTTGGCCAGGGCAGGGATGGGCCAGGGCTTTGGCAGACGTGGATTCTTTCTTTTGCTCTTTGTGCCCCCAAACCCTTCTTGCTTAGTGGCCCCCTCCCAGCAGCTCCCTGCCTCAGTTTCCCCATGTGCAGAGAGAGAGCAGTCACTCCCTTCCTCCCGGTCTGCTCATCCCCATTCCCACTGCCCAAGGCGTTCCCAGGCTCCGGGAAGTGAAGAACATCCTCTCCACAGCTGAGGTGGCAGAAGGGAGGTGGAGGGTGATGAAATACGGTGAGTGGGGGACAGGGACTTTGGCACAGCTGGATCGGGAAAGGGAATGCAGAGCATTGTCCCTGCTGATCCCTCCTGTCCGGTACAGCTGCCCCCCTGCTCCATTAACCTTCTCCCTAGATTTGCTCCCTCCATATTGCTCAACCTACACACCAGATCCTCTCTCCAAATGGCAGCTCCCACCTCTTTCCAGGCAGCAGCGGGATGAGTCAGCGGCCCCTCCGCTGCGTCCTGCCCCTCTGCCCAGAGCCTCTGCCGGCAGCCCCAGCCCTGCCAGCCCCGGCTCTGCTCCTGCAGCTTTGGGCTCTGAGCACACTCTGCTCCTTTAGAGGGTTCAGAGAGGCATCCCCCCATTTGTCTCCACTCTTCTAACACAGGATCCATTCGCGGAGCCCACAGCAACGCATGGGCTCCCTGGGAGCATGTGCATGGTTTGGTGCCAGCTGGAATGGCAGTTTGCAACTGGAGCATTGTGTGTGGGCATGGAGTGTGAGTGGCCCGGGGTGGGGGGCAGCTTCCACACCTCCTCTCTGCATGGATTGGGGTGAAAAGCAGGATGACATCCCTGCACTCGCCTTGTGATTCCCAAGGCTGATATGCTTGGCGCAGCCCGTGTCCCAGCAGCCCAGCCCTCCAGAGTGGCCACACTTGTCCCTGTGCCTCTGCTCTCCTGGGAAAGCTGCAGAGCCCCAGAGCAAGGGGCAGAGGTGATGGGGCTGAGGGCTGCATCCTGCTGAGCTGGCTCGGGGTCCAGTACACGCAGGAGAGGGATGGGGCTGGGTCCTGCTCTCTGTGGAGGCATTTCTTGCCGTGTCCTTAACCCATGGCAGTGGGCATGGCCGAGGGTGCCTGCCAGCAGGATGCCTGCCAGGAAAACCCGCTTCTAGAGCCCAGGGCTTTAGCAATTAGAGTCCTGGTAATCGCCTTCCCCGGGCGGGCGGCGGGAGGGACCTGCGGGCTGGGCACCATGTGGGCGTAGGGTGTGCAAATCCAGCACAGCCGGGTGCTATCACCCTCTGGAGGTGGCCAGGGCAGGGTTTGAGCCTCCAGCCTTATCCCGGGAGAGTCCCCATGGCCATGAAGCATTGCATGGTCCATGCCCAGCCCTCCAAGGCCCTGGAAGCCCTCGGTGTGGGAGGAAGGCTCCTCGCTGTGTGCTGAGGGCGCAGCCAGCCTCGTGCCAGGCATGATTTAAGCTGGGCACTGCCCCAGTCTTCACAGGGTGACGTGTGCTGGGGTGCTTCGGATTAGAGGCAAGCCTCTTGAGTCTGATTTAAATCAGATCAGCAGAGACAGTCCAGATTATCTGCCTTGTAAACAGGGCTGAATCTGACCTGTAGATCCGCCCACGTAACTGCCTGGAAAACCACAGGGGGAGGCTGGCGTGCACTGGTCCAAGGGCAGAATTTTTCCACAGTGGACCTGCTAATGCCTGAGTCACACAAACCTCTTGAGGGCACCGAGCTGGCAGGTTGCTGAGCACTGGACTTCAAGTTTAGGGATGCCACAGAGTCCCTTTAAAATCCTGAGGCCAATGCTCAGCATCCTCAGCTTCCCTTGAGGCAGATCTTGGCCACTGGAGCTGCAGGGAAGAGGATGTGTCGGCTCTGCGCTGCCTTGGCTGGTCCTGGTGGTCCCTTTGTCACTCCTTGGTAGCCCAGCAAACCTCACACACAACCTCTGGAAAGCAGGGAGGAATAGTCTGAAGCATCCTGCTGACATTTGCCCCCCATGCACAGAGGGACAGGCTGGTCCTGGTGGGTGAAGCCCAGCCCTGGGCAGGAAGGGGACATAAGGCCAAGTGACCTGCAGATGAGTGTCACAAGGTCCAGAGTGGCAGTAGCTGGTGTGGTTTGCACTTTGCTTTGTTGCAGTGTGGAATGGCGAGAGGATCAATCCTGCTTATCCCACAGTCTCTGTACTCAACCCCAGTGCATGCCCAGGGGGTCTTGAGGGGCCACAACCCACAAAGACGACAGAGTCCAACCATCTGGGTTTTAATTCCCTTCCTGTTTGCTCCCACAGCAGAACACGCAGAGGTTGGGTGTCTCCCAAGCAACTCACTCTCTGACCACACCAGTTGTTTCCGTGGCGACTCCGAGTTTGCTGACACAGGGGCTGCCCTTCTCTGCCATGCCCACAGCGTACAACACAGGTAAGAGCAGTGGCCAGGTCTGAGCTCTCCACTGAGCGAATTAACAGGAGAGGGAAATGTGCTGCTGCAGGGATGTGCCTGTGCTCTCCGAGCAGCTGCATCGTCGCTCACGGAACTTGCTGCTGCAAGACATGGTTGAGTCCGAAGGTTCCACAGGATTAAAATCAAGGGGAAAGTCATTATATAAATGCTGTCATAGCCAGAAGGGCTGTGAGGGCTGATCCTGCCCCGCTGTAGCCCATCAAACTGTGCAAGTGGATGCTAATTACAGCTACACCCATCCCTGGGCTCTCCAGAGCTCGGGGGATGCTGTAATAGGGGCTTAATGACAATGAGCGTAGGCCCCCAAAAGTTTGGGAAGAATGCAAACCAGCCTGCTCGTAGGCACACCTGATTCAGGCTGGCGGGGTTCAAGCCAGCCCGAGGCGACGGTGACAGCACAGTTGCCCAAGCAAAGGGGTTGTTCATCTGCCACCTGTCAGACCTCCGTGAGAACTTTGAGGACTTGCTGGTTGCCTGTGTAACTTGCTCTGAGCTCAGAGGAAAGTTTGCAAAAATGTAAAAAGCTGCTTGTCTGGAAGAACCCAGAACAGGCGTGTTGGGAACTCCCTCTCCTAAATTAGTAGGTGTAGCCCTGAAGATGCCGGTTGTGCGTGATGAGGCTCCTCTCCCCGCGTGGCAGCCGGCGCTGGCCGTGCCGTTCGCCAGCCAGGCTGGGCACAGCCAGAGTCCCCAAAATAGGTTTTAATTGAGCCCTGTGCTGCTGCTCAGGGCGGAGGGGCTGAATTTCAGCTCTCTGTAGTTATTTTCTCTCAGAGCTGACCACGGGCAGAGCCGTGTTCCTGCCCGAGCACCAGCGGTGTCTGTGCCACGGGGTTTGCTGTGGGGGTGAGCGTGGGGGGCATCGCTATGGGGTGCAAACTCCAAGCCTGGGCTGTTGCCACTTGTTTTACGAGGGCTGCCCTGTTAATTAAGTGGGAATTATCTCGATTTGTGAAGGATCTTGAGCACAAGGAGTGGCTGAGGGAGCTGGGGGAGCTCAGCCTGGAGGAAAGGAGGCTCAGAGGGACTCCCTCACTGTCTACAACTTCCTGACAGGAGGATGGAGCCAGGTGGGGTTCGGGTTCTTCACCCAGGTAAAAAGTGACAGGACAAGAGGAAATGGCCTCAAGTTGTGCCAGAGAAGGTTTGGGTTGGATATTAGGGAAAATTTCATTATGGTAGAGGTGGTCAGGCATTGGAACAGGCTGCCCAGGGCAGTGGTGGTGTCACCATGCCTGGAGGGATTTAACATATGTGTGGATGTGGCACTTGGGGACATGAGTTAGTGGTGGCCTTGGCAATGTTGGGGGAATGGCTGGACTTGATGGTCCTGGATAGCTTTTCCAACCTAGATAATTCCATGATTCTGTGATGCTGCCAGGATGATCATCTTGTGGGTCACTGTGGGGTGCAGATACCCTGAGCGAACTCCCAGCCTGAGGCGTTGCCACTTATTCTTTCCAGGACTCACCTGTTAATTGAGTGGGAATTGTCTGGATTTCAAGTGGGTGCAGTTGTGCCAAGCTGCCTGGCCAGGGTTACGTGCCCTTTCCCATGCCGGCTCCGCAGCTGGATTCAGTCAAGCCCAACCATTCCCAGCTCTGTGATCCAGAGAGGCTCCAGCTCCAGCCCTGGTGGGGGCTGTGGGGGCGGCCACTGTAACCAGTGGGTGTCTGGAGCTCCCGAACCAGAACGGCCGGTGCGGGAGGTGAAGGACGTTGGGTGGGGTGTGCCGGGGATCCGCCGGCGGCGTTGGCAGCGGTTCAGCACCAGCACAGCCACCTCTGTGTGTGCTGCTGGGGCGGGGACAGCTGAAACCACGAGACACCCAAAATTAGAGAAAGGGGGAGGGAGAGGGCACGGGGAAGGTTCGATTGACCTGTGGGTCCGTGGTGTCTGTGTCAGGTGTTGACGTGGCCGACCAAGAATTGACCATCTCCAGGAGCAGCAGCACTTTCCCCCCAGTTTTCTCCATCGTCGTTCCCACCCCTTGTAAAATCCCCCCTTGGTGTGGGGTGCTCCACGGGGATTTGGGATGTTCCCGAGGTCCTATAGGGGAAGGGCATCGTCCTGCAAGCGTGGGGGGGTACCGGGATGTGAGGTGTCCGTGGGGAGGGACACGGTGGCTGCTGAATGTCCCCATGGCGGGTGGGGAGCGCCCCCTGCTGTCACACGGGGGGGTGACCCAGGTAGGGGTGACGGTGCCTCAGACACAGGTGGGGATGCCCCAGATACAGGTGAGGATGCCCCAGGTAGGGGTGACGGTGCCTCAGGCACAGGTGGGGATGCCCCAACTGTGGGTGAAGGTGCCCCAGGTACAGGTGAGGATGCTCCAGGTATGGGTGAAGGTGCCTCAGGCACAGGTGGGGATGCCCCAGGTATGGGTGGGGATGCCCCAGGTATGGGTGAAGGTGCCTCAGGCACAGATGGGGATGCCCCAGCTGTGGGTGAAGGTGCCCCAGGTAGGGGTGAGGATGCTCCAGGTATGGGTGGGTCTCACCAGCTGTTGGAGGTTCGCTGCCCAGGGAGGGGAGGACATGTGTGTCTGTGCTCTGTATACCCAGCTGGAGGGTGGCTGTGCGGTGTCTCACATGCCCACAGTCCTTCCTGGGGGGAGCTGGATGCAGCTGCACCATGGGGCTGCCCCTTCCACTGCTCTGCCTGGGGGATAATGGCACCGGTGGGTGTTGGGGGTGTGGAGAGTCCTGCCAGCCTTGAGGCCAGAAGGCAACTGGATATAAGGAGGAAATGGTTTATGCTGAGGGTGCTGAGACACTGGCACAGCTTCCCAGAGAAGCTGTGGCTGCCCCATGCCTGGAAGTGTTCAAGGCTGGGTTGCATGAGGCTTGGAGCAACCTGGGACAGTGGAAGGTGACCCTGCAGGTTGGACTAGATGGCCTTTAAAAGGTGCCTTCCACGGCACATAATGCTGTGGTCTAGTTGCCATGGTGTTGTTTGGTCATAGATTGGACTTGATGATCTCAGAGGTCTTTTCTAACCTCCATGATTCTGTGATTCCAGCCCAAGTCATTCCATGGTTCCAAGAGCTGTGTCCTCTAGCTAGCATCCCTGTACCACTTGCAGCACGAGACAATATTCCATACGTTGTGTGTTTGTGTCTCTTGCAGGTCTCCATCTTCTCGCAGTACTCAGGGTGCTGTGGGAGCAGGTTTGACGCTGAAATGACTGAAGGGCTCCTTCTCTTCCAGATTATCAGCTGACGAGCGCTGAGCTGTCCTCGCTGCCAGCATTCAGCTCACCTGGAGGGCTGTCCCTTGGCAACATCTCTGCCTGGCAGCAGCAGCAGCAGCAGCAACAGCAGCAGCAGCAGCAGCAGCAGCAGCAACAGCAGCAGCAGCAGCAGCAGCAACAGCAGCAGCAGCAGCAGCAGCAGCAGCAACAACAGCAGCAGCAGCAGCAGCAACAGCAACAACAGCAGCAACAGCAGCAACAACAGCAGCAGCCGCAGCAGCAGCCGCAGCAGCAGCACCTGGTCCCCGTGTCACTAGGAAACTTAATGTAAGTGGAACAGGTACCAGGGCCACTCAGACAGAAATGGGGAATTCCTCAGAGGTGCCAAACCTGCAGAACTTCAGCTGTAACTCCTCCCTGCTGGGCCCCCGTGGGTCCACGCTGTGTTTCTGGAGGGCAGGAGCAGCTGCAAGAGGAGCCAGCCCAGCCAGCTCAGGAAGTCTGGGGAGTCCTGTCCCTGCCTCTGTCATAGGAGTGACCCAGAGTCCCCAGCTGAGATCAGAGCAGTGGCATGCTCAGGGGTGCTCCAAGAGCTGCATCCTGCTGTCTGTCCACAGCAGGATTGCTCCCTGCTCTCAACTGGGGGGCCAGGATACAGCCAGAGTCAGCATTAGATGGAACAGAAGTTGCAGGATAAGGTGTCTGGAATTGTGTCCTGCTGGTGTAGGAAGAAGGTGGCTTTTAGTATTGCAAATGGATTGCTTTCCTCCAGGGAAGAAAACACTTACATATTGGAGCAGGTTTTCTGAAGTGGATCTCCTTTTAGTCTGAAATAAAGCATCCACACACCAAGTTACTTGGTCAAAATAAAGATTTAAGCAACTTACCTGAGATGACACTGAGTCTGTGGGACAGAAAGAGGCAGGAATTGAAGAGGGGAAATCTGTGACTTTGCCCCAGTCACTGAATCAGACACTCTGATATGCCCAGCATGAAGTGCCGGGTGAATGGATGGAGGAATGGACGGATAGACGGCGAGAGGGAGGGGTGGACTGACGAGGCTTTTGTGCAGGGAGTTCAGTTCATTTCCTCACTGCCTGGAGCACATTTTCCAGGCAGGGCAGACAGCAGCTTTCCCAGCAGCCACCCAGACCTCCTGCACCAGTATGGAAAGTCTGGATGAAATTTTGGGTTGTAGCAAAGAGGTTCCCAGTTTGGAGCAAAACCCTCCACCGTGTCTGTGCAGCCCACGGAGACGCTGGGGCAGAGCTGTACAGATACCCATGGGACAGGGATGTTACACCCTGTCCTTCTCCTCCTGCTGCTTTGGGACGGTGGGTAGGATCGGAGCTGGATCCCAGGGTGCTGGGGGAGAATAGGTGCTGCTCGCGGGGTTCTGCAGGTCCCAGGTTGGCAGCGACGTGTCCTGGTGAGCACACAGCTCGTGTGTTCTGGAGTCATAGTGATTCATAATTCTAATTATGAATCCAGATTAGTAATCTAATCCAGGTTCATAATCCTGTGTTCATTTGGCTGTGGAATGTGCAGGTTTTGGATTCTGTGTATCGGAGGGTAAAAGGCTGTGAAAAAGATAATAATGAGAAATTTACCATTATCTCTTTTTTCACCTGTTTCTCCCCCTCCCTCCCCTCCTGCTCTCCTCCTTCTCCTCCTCCTCCTTTCCCAACCTCTTCCCCTGCCTTCTGGATGCCCAGACAAGGGAGTCACTTGTCCCACACCACCACTTTGACTGTCAACACCAACCCCAACATCAGCATCAAGTCGGAGCCCGTCTCGCCCAACCGGGAGAGGAACACTGCCACCCCGCTCAGCACCTTCCCCCACCAGCCCCGGCACGAGCCCACCGGCCGCTCGCCCGTCGACAGCCTCAGCAGCAACACCAGCTCCTACGAGGGCAGCAGCGAGCGGGACGATCCCGCCCGCCCCGATTTCGGCTCTTCCCTGGGCCTCCTGCGGCCCAGCAGCGAGCCCGAGGGGGAGAGCCCCTCCGTAAAGCGCATGCGGTTGGATACCTGGGTCACATAACGCGTCCCCGCCGTCCCTGGGAGCGCCGCCGGCTCCGGTGGGGCCGCGGGAAGGGGGCGGGAGGGGCGGGGGGGGCGAAACGGGTGATGGGGATGGGCTGGGGTGGGGGGAAAATTATCATAAACTGCCTGAGAAATAGCTTTAGGATTTTTGTAGGCATTCATTCTAGCGCAGCAGGCGACGCACGCAGTACATACGGCTCTCCTTGGCCGGGCCGCGGGCTCGGGAACAGCCAAGGGTGTGGGAACGGGGCACGGGAATGGAATATCTGTGTGCTTGCCAAAAACAGCAGCCTCTGGCGATGCTCCCCCGCGGGCGGGCGGGCCGGGCAGTCGGTGCCCACTGGCTGGCGAGACCCCTCCCCGGGAAGTGGGACCGTATCCCTTGGGAAGAGCGCCTGCAGCAGGACGGGCTCTGGGGGGAGACAGGGCACAGAGCACCCTGAAATGCACCTTCACGCCGTGCCCGGGCTCTCCTGGGTCCATGCGCAGGAAGGGGCAGTTCGGACACGATCCAGCTCTCCGAAAGCTTGAAGGGCTTTGGCAGACACCAGTTTTCCTCAAAAAGGGTTTTCCTACACCAGTTTTCCTAAACCAGCTGGAAAGGGAGGCTGAGGGGGTATGAAACAGGTATGAAACAGGATGCAGCTGCGTCCACAGCCTGCTTGGGCCTCCTGGATACTGGAAAGCTTAATCCAGGGAGTAAGAGGCAGATTTTTAAGGCTTAATCCCGTTTGCAGTTTGCATGACAAATGGATGCAGAAAGCATCCTTTCATCCTTCCTAGCAGAGCAGGGAACTCTGCCATCTCTGACCAGGGTCACTGGAACACTGGAGTTCCTCTTTCCCAGGAAAGCCTTGCCTCTGCCCGGGTGCAGTGGGTGTGCAGAGGGAGGATGTGTTAGTGCTGCTTTTCAAAGAAAATGGTGGGTTTTATCAAACGACATCCGTGAAAGCATTTTAAAAATGCATTCCCATTCCACATGGGCCAAAGCTTTAAATCAGGAAAATGGGAAGAAATTATTTTTTTATTGAAGGATGCAACTGAAATAATGATCCTTTGGGATTCTGCCTGAAGGTTTCTAGGCCTCAAAAGGTAAGGGTGAGCTGTGTGGAAAATCTGCTCAAGTCTTGATGCAGTGATTTAGTGGAAGGAAAAAGGAAAAAGAAGGAATTTCCTTGTCTTGCCAGTTGCTCTGGCAGTTTCCTGGGGAAAGGTGTCAGCACTCTGATCCCAAAATGCAGCAGCCAACTCAGGGCTGGAGGATTTGGAGCAGAAGGGTCTGTTCCCGACCTGTGTAGGTGTTAGGGAGAGCTTCCTCCCTGCAGGCGCTCTCCTCTGGGATGCTGGTTCCCCATCCCCCTGCCAGCCTGCCTTGTCACCCTGTGCAGGGACACCCCAGCCCCGCTCACCCCTGGGCTCACGGTCACAAACTGGCACAAAACCTGCCTGGATGCCACCTTTGCCAACTCCTTCAGCAGCTGGAGCCTGGCCAGGCTGGGGGGGCTTCAGAGGAGCTGGGAGCTGCTTTGGGGTCAGCTTCCCCCGAGTGGGAGCAGAGGGAGAGGAGTAGAGTCACAGGGGGATTTATCCTCCTCCTGCATTCCTCTGCCAGGTGTCAGCACCAGCTGAGCCTTGGAATGAGGTGGATGGCATAAAAATGTCCCAGAATGAGGGCAAAGCAGAAGAAAATGTATGTTTTTTTATAAACGTTTCCCAACTAAGCATTTATCCCAAAGTTTCTAATTTGGAAAAACAAGACAAAAAAAAATTGATGATTATTGTGAAATGAACAGGGGTGACCTAAAGGGAGGGGTTGGGGGAGGAGAGGAAATCCTCCAAAAATCCTTGCAGGGGGGTCACCCACACATCCCTCCTGAGCTGATACCTGCCCTGACCTTCTCCTCTCCCAAGGATTCATTGATTTGGGTGTGGAGACCTGGGGAAGGGTCCAGGATGGCAGTGCCAGGGTTCCAGATACCGGCATCCCTGCAGAAGAAGGCACGGAGCGATGTGTGGGATAAAATTACCCCATCAAAATCTTGTCATATCAAATTCCTGCCACAAAGGCTTTTCCAAATAATGGTTTGATTCCTTTCCAATGATAAATTTGGAGTTCCCTCTCCCGTTCCTGCGCTCTGGAGGGCCTTGGGCAGACAAGGGTGAAGCCCCGTGGTGCCAGGGAGGGCTCCTGGCAGGCTTTGTGCAGTTAAACCCCCCGTCTCCCCTCCCCAAGACGAACCCAGTGGGTACCACTGTGTGCCAGGGACATGCTCGGCTCTCACCTCCGGAATGCCGGCGCGGCATCGGCGGCAGAAGCGGATCTCCCTCCCTCCATCTCCGTTTGTCCGTTGAGAAGTGGGAGAGACACTGCGGACCATGGTCCTCCTCGCCCACGCTGTGCCCCCCGACCCGGCGATGCCCGATGTACCGGACGCGCACCTGAGCTCTTTGCACGGCCTTTGCTTTGGAAATTAGGCGGGATAACGACATCTCATCGCTCTTGTTTTGTATTTCAATTTTTTTTTCCTTCACAAAAAAGAAACTAAACCCAACTCACCGAGGTCTGCCCCGCTGGGAGCGACACAGCAGGAGGGCCCAGCAGAGCAGTTTTCTCCAGAGACCCCAGCGGGGAGGCGGCGGCGAGACCCCCCTGGCACTTGACGCCACCGGTGCAGAGCGAACCCTGAGCGGGGAAAAAAAACCAAAAAAACATTTTTGCTCATGGACTTCACGCCCTGACTCCCAAGTTCACACTTCTGCCTGGAAACTGAGAGCCTGGAAAACCACGAAATCCAAGACCCAAACGCTCTGGGTTCCGTAGATGCAGGTTTAGATGTGCCTGGCGGGGAAGGCGCCGGCGGTTCAGCGCCGGGCTGTGCCGTGCCGGACGGATCCGCAGCAGCGCGGCAGCAGAACTCCACGGTCCCCTGGGCTGGAGCCACGGGCAAGTATGGCTCGTGGGAAGGCGGGGCTGCCCCGGTCAGGCACGGCTTCACGTTGTGGTGAAAGGGGCTTGGGGGCTGTTTGTCGGGGTCTTCATTTTGTTGGGGGCTTAGGGTTATTTTATTATTCTATTTTTTTTTTTGTCCGGGTCATTATCCTTTATTTCCCCCCAGACTGTAGTATCCAGTAAACTCCTCCTAATTTTCAAAAGACAACGAGAAGAATGACAATCTAAGAAACCAACACCCTCCTTTGTGCTTCTATAAATATGTTTCTGATCTAATTTTATTTCTTGTGCTCATCTGTACTGTTGACAGTTACAATTGTGTATAATTTTTTTTTTAATTTGGAATTTTTGCGTTGTATAGGGTTTAGTTTTAAAATATATATATATATTTTCCATTTTTTAAAAAGGGGTGTTGCAAAAAAAAATTGCACGATTTAAATGACAATAGTTAAAATGCTGCAGTTTTTAGAGATGTGGAAGCAAAATGGAGCTTATTTATTCTCAAAGGCTATAAAGGTGTAAAATGCATGAAGAAAAAAAACATTTACAAAAAAAAAAAAAGACAAAAAAAGTGTAACCTGAACAAAGTGTAGCGTTAAAGATTTTAAAGGATGACGACAACAAGAAAAAAAGAAAAAAAACAACAAAAAAACAGCTAATATATTGTGTTTGGGCTAGTTTGCTTTTGTTTTTAATTGTTCCTTTTTTGGAGAATGAAATACAATTGTGTATATTTTCATATAAGAAGTATGCACTGAGATGTTTCCAAACTGATATATTCCTTTCTAAACGTGTGGTTACTTACCAAAGTCTGTTTCTGATCTTTACCTTCTGAACTCTCTGTGGATGCTCCAGCCCACGCCCGCCGGGGCCCGACGCCGCGGCCGCAGGTAAGCCAAGGTGGGGGCACCGGCGTCGCCCCCTCCTCTCCCTGCCCCAGGGCGGCTGATTTGGGGTGCTGGTGGATGTGACCGCGGTGCTGGTGTTGTGGGAGGGGCTGTGACCCCCGGCCCGGGAAGGCTGGTCTTTCCCAGGGCTTGGCTGGCTGGTTTTGGGGTGTTTGTGCCGGCAGCGGGGGACAGGGCTGGCCAGGACCGCAGTGTCCCTTGCGGGACGATGCCAGGGGAGCAGTGTTGCAGGGGGCAGATGCAGAGGAAGGGATGAGTCCCACGTGCCAGGAGCACGGAGCGTGCGAGGGCTCTGCCGCCAGCGTGTGCCGGAGTGGCCGGGGTTTGGTGCAGAGAGGAGGAGGAGGATGGAAGGAGGTTGCGGGGTCTGGCTCAGGTGATGCTGCTACTGGTAGCCATAGGAGCAGGATGGGGTGGGAAGCTGCTTGCCCACCCCGGGAGGAGATTTAGGGATGGAGCAGGCCCTAAGTGATATCTCGAACCTGAAATCCCGGGAAGGGCTGCTGGCATGTGGTGAGGATGGTGATGGATCGAGGGGGATGGTCTCGCCTGCTCTGGGCGGCTGTGGGGCTGATCAGCTGGTGCCAGGGTGGGGTGTGGGGGACAGGGTGACCCCCTGCTGATTGGGGTGGTTTTGGGTGGTGGCGAAGAGCTCGGCTGTGTTGGACGTTTGGATGAGGGCGTCGGTGCTGGAGGGATCCGGCAGTGGGTTGTGGTTGTGCGAGGGGCACCACCAGGGGTGGTGGCAAGGAGACCCTTGGGGAAGGGTTTTGCTGCTGTTGTGTGTTTGGGGCTGCTGCCAGTGTTGGGATTGGAGGGTGATGGAAGTGTTAAATCCAGAGCTGTTGGCAATGGGGCCATGTGTGGGCCTGGGGGAAAGTGGGGCAAGGAGAAAGAGTTTCCTTTTCTTCCCCCCTTTTTCACTTCCATCTTCCCTCCCAAAATAATCTTGGCAAACCAGGGAAAAAAGCAAATTTACAAAAACCCCCACCTTTTCCTTGAAAATTTCACCTCCTGCACTTTTTTCTTCCCTTATGTTGCTCATTTGGGAGATTCCCCCTAACGCTTTGGATGGGAATTGTGAAGTTTGTCACCAGCTCTGGGGAAAAGGCTGCTAACTGCTTCTGCCAGCCTAGAGCTCTGCCAGGGGTGAGGGGCCCTCAGCGTTTCAGGGGTCCCCTCCGCACGGGTCCCTCTGTGTTGCTGGGGTGAGCATCCATTGGATGAGGAAGGATATTCCCAACCATGCCTTGGTCGTGCCATCCCTGGTGCCACATCCTGCCTTGCCCTCCCATCCTTCTGGCTGAGGGCACAATTTGGGAATATTTTGAGGATTTTTACCACTTAAAGTGGCAAAAATTCATCTCTATCCACCTCTCCCAGGGCTGTGGGCAAGTCCATAACTATGGGCTTCAGCTGAACGTTTGCTCGTTTCCCTTTCCCATGTTTATCCTTTGCCTTCCCCTCTCACTTCACTTTTCTTTCTTCTCTTTTTTCTTTCTTTTCTCTTTTTTCTCCTTTTCTATCTTTTTTTGTTTCGTTTTGGTTTGGTTTTTTGTTTCTTTTTCTCTTCCACAAAAAATCCCAACCAGACCCGTAAACCAAGTATTATGTTTTCACTACCTCCATCCATCACCCTTCCCTTTCCGATGCCAGAAGCCATGCTCGGGATGTAAGAGGGCCTTTCCCCCTTTATTTTCCCCTTTCCTCCAGAGATTTTATCTCCTCTGTGTCCCTCTGCCCCTCCTCTCTCTGGTCTCTCACCTGTAGTGTTTTACCTGGCTACTGTAACTGTAAATAGCGAGTTTCAATCTGTTAGCGATGGTAACAGTACAGAAAACTGGTTTTGGGGGGTTTTTTTGTTGTATTGATATGAAATGAGATTATATTTTTGTCAGAGTATATTGTAATAATACTGACTTTGGACATGGCCGAGTTGTACAGCGATTTCTTGTTTAACCCTCTTGGCTCTTCCCTTGCTCTTCCCCTCCCTGTCCCTCCCTGCTCCCCAGGTTTCCGTGTCCCAGACCCAGACCTGGCCGGGCTCCCAGCTGGGAGCAGCCACTTGGCAATGGCTTCACACCAGGGATGCTTTTCCACAGGGTTCCCAACACGCTGGCGTGTCCCCCCGTGGGTCTGGAGAGGTGAGAAACATGCAGGAGGATATTTAAGTGAGCCTTGGATATAAGGAGGTTCCTGGTGTGCAGGGATGCTCCCACTCTCTGCTACACTCCCGGCAGGAATCAGGGACCTCGGAGGAATGGATGAGGTCATTCCAGCTCCCCTCTCCTCCCTAGCGAGTGGAAAACCACGTTGTTTTCCAGTTTCTTCCTCCCGAGCTCCGTTCTCTGGAGCGATGCCTGTTTGGAATGTGCTTTCCTTAAGCCAGAAGAGGGTGGTGTGGCTCAGACTGCGCCGGGATCGTCTCCGAGCAGTCTGAAGTAGTTTTCCGGGAACTGGAAGTTTTACAACATCCCCAGCCCATTGCTGCGAGGAGAGGCGTTGGTGAGCCGGGGTGAGCTGTTCCCCCCCTGCATCCCACCCACAAAGGAGGGATTTCTTCCCTTCGGCTGGGTTTCCAGAGCGGGATTTTCCTGCTGGTGCCACCGAGATGTAGAGACCAGCCCAGTTCCTTGCTCTCTGGGCACAAACCCACTGCAGAGCCCTATGGAACATCCTTTCCACAGGGAAGCACGCTGTCGTGGGACAATGCTGAGATGTCCCCGTGGGCTCCCAGCATCTCCTGCAAGGCCGAGGGGTGAAGCAGCCCAGCTCGGGCCACGACACCCCTCCTCCCCACGGCTCTTTCTGAGCAGTGTGCAGGCAAATAGGACACTGAAGAGGTGGGGACCATCACGGCTGTGCTGCTGCTCCCCTTTTGTGTCCCACATGGCCTCTGGGTTGGGTCTCCCCCATCCCCTTCATGCCTCTGGTTCCCTGTAGCTCAGTAAAGCAGGTAGGTGTTAGCAAACTCTGGGGTGTCTGCAACAACCTTTGTAAAATAGAATAGACCCTTTAAATGATGCACTAAAAGAAAAAAAAAACAAACATAAATCCCCTCTCCCTCAGCTTCTCTGTGTGATGGTTCGTTGGATCTCCCCGCTCAGCCCGTCTGTAACAGCACAGGCAGCTCTGCATCCTCTCCCCAGGGTGCTGCACAGGTAGAAACAAAACAGGACGTGCACTTCCCCTGAGGAGTTTTATTTATTGTTTTGAGAAGCAATTTAAAAGGAAAAAAAAAATAAACTGTGTATCTATAATATATATATATATATTTTTAACCTCTTTTCTTTTCCTGATGCTCCTCCACCCGTGTGTGTGTGCGTGTGTGTGTGCGCGAGTCAAGGGATTCTGAGTGGGGACCACGGTGTCCTCTTCCCCGTGTCCAGCTCTCCAGGGGATCAGGGTGTCCCCTTCCCCATGTCCAGCTCTCCAGGGGATCAGGGTGTCCCCTTCCCTGTGTCCAGCTCTCCAGGGGATCAGGGTGTCCCCTTCCCCATGTCCAGCTCTCCAGGGGATCAGGGTGTCCCCTTCCCCGTGTCCAGCTCTCCAGGGGATCAGGGTGTCCCCTTCCCCGTGTCCAGCTCTCCGGGGGACCACGGTGTCCCCTTCCCCGTGTCCAGCTCTCCAGGGGCGATGCAGCAGAAGCCCAGAAGCAGCAGTGGGAGGGGAGGGAGGATTTATGCTGAGAGCTTGTAACGTTTTAACCGTGGTTTTTGAATAATTCCATCTTTCTCTGGAGTATTTGCACCCTTGGGGTCTGGCCTGACCGAGAACCTCCCCCACCCTGGGGATGCCGTCGCCCCCCATCCCCATCCCCTCCTGTCCCTGCTCCCTTGACAATCAATGGCTCCTTCCCAGGGACTGCAGCACGTGGTTGAGACGTCTGTTTCGTTTTTTCAATATTCCTTTTTTGTGCTGTATGGTGATGCGTTATTGTATATTCCACAATAAGAAAAAAAATATATAAAAAAATGATGATAATAATAATAATTACCATGAGAAATTCTTATGAGTTTTGTTTGGAAACTCTTTCACTATATTTGTTGTAAAGAGGTTTACTATTAAAAAGAAAAAAAATACACGTTTCTGATAATTTTCTGTGCCTCTGGCTCTTTCTTTCCTGCCCTCCCCATGGCAGGGTGCAGCAGGGTGTCTCTCTGGCCTCCAGCTCCTGCCAGAGATCTCAGCAAGGTGGGGCTGCTCCTGTGTCACCTGCTCTTGGTGGCTGCAGGTAACACTGCTGTCCCTGCTCCCACTGGGCACACGGGCCTGAGATCACCTGGATGAAAAGCAGTGGCCTGGCAGAGGGACACACCTGGAGCAGCCCCAGGGATGCAGGAGCAGGGCGTTTCCCCTCTGTCCTGCTCAGGTGTTCCCAGTCTCCCTGTCTCACATCCACAAGGGATTCAACCAGGCTGAGGACCAAGATACCCCTGGCTTGTGGAGAGTCCCCTCCCCACAGGCCACCCTGAGGAGGGGTGACAGCTGTCCTGGGGTACTCTTGGCTGCTCTTTGATGCTCTCAGATGCCTTGGGATGCTCTTGGCTCCCCTGGGATACTCTCAGTGGAGATGGTGGTCCCCACCACCCAGTTTCTGGTGGAGGCACCGAGTCCTTGGGCTGGAATGGACACCCCAGGACACGCCGTGCTGTGGCTGCCACGGACCCTTGCAGGCTCCTTCCAGGTCAGGCACTGCCTTTCCTACCCAAAGGTTTTCCTGGTGGGGGCTTGACTTAGGAACGGGGCCTCCCTCCACCCAGGGGTGGATTTCTGTTGGGCTTCCAGCCAGGATGCCAGGTAAGTGTGAGCTCCTGAGGACTTGCCTTTGATTTGGGGTCCCAGTCACACACCCCAGCTGGGTACCTCTGGGTTCAGGATACACCCAGGAATGCTGTGAGGCTGATGCCTGCAGGAAGGGCAGCAGCACACAGCTCCTGGGGGCCTCACCTTGAATCCTGGCCCTTCACAATGAGAAAGACATTGAGGGGCTGGAGTGTGTCCAGAGAGGGGCAGTGGAGCTGGGGAAGGTCTGGAGCACAAGGAGAGGCTGAGGGAGCTGTGGGGGGCTCAGCCTGGAGAAAAGGAGGCTCAGGGGGGACTTTCTCACTTTCTACAACTGCCTGACAGGAGGTTGGAGCCAAGTAGGGGTCGGGCTCTGCTCCCGGGGAGCAAGGGACACAACAAGAGGAAACAGCCTCAGGTGGCACCAGAGGAGGTTTAGGTTGCATATTCGGGAGAATTTCTTCACTGAAAGGATGGTTGGGCACTGGCACAGGCTGCCCAGGGCAGTGGTGGAGTCCCCATCCCTGGAGGGATTTAACAGACATGTGGTACTTGGGAAATATTTAGTGGTGGCCTTGGCAGTGCTGGGGGAACAGTTGGACTCGATCTTGGAGGCCTTTTCCAACCATAACAATTCCATGATTGTATGGTTTCAACTAAACCAGGCCAAGAACTGCCTCTCAGCAAAAAATAGCCTTTTCACCCCAAAACTGATTGGGGGGGAGGGGAAAGATCCCCTTCCCCACCCCGCGAGGGCTCTGCTCTGACCCTTTATTCCCTTTAATGCTCGTACAGCCAAGCTGTTCCCGATGCCAACCCGGTTTTGGGGAGCGGGGGGTGGGGTTGGGGGGGTCGCCCCCGCCCCGGCGCGTTTCTCCGTGTCGCCGCCAGGTGGCGGCAGAGGGCGGGGCTGGCGGCGCTGATTGACAGCTGTCAATCACCGCGGCCGGGGGGGCCGGGGGGGGCGACTTTGGGGCTCCGCGAGGCTGCAGAGCGGGGGAATTTCGGGCCTCAGCGGGTTGTTTCCGTGTTCCCCGTGCTCCGTGGCTGGGGAGTTCCGCGGTCTGGCCTGAATTCCTCGAACAGGAGTAAAACCCCGGGATGGGCTTTGGCGGGACCCGCTCCCGGGCACCGACGGCACAGAACGTCAGCGCTGGCCTGGGCTCATCCCACAGCGTGGGCAGCACCTCAGGGGGGCATCCTGCTCCTGTGCTCCACTCAGGTGAGATCCACACCTGCAGAGCTACCTCTGGCCCTGCCCCCAGCACAGGAAGGATGTGAAGCTGCTGGAGTGAGTCCAGAGGAGGCCACGGAGGTGCTTCAGGAGCTGGAGCCCCTCTGCTCTGGAGACAGGCTGAGAGAGCTGGGGGTGTTCACCTGGAGAAGAAAAGGCTCCAGGGAGACCTGAGAGCCCCTTCCACGGCATAAGGACCTGGCCAGACAGGACAAAGGCAAATGGGTTCCACTGTCGGAGGGCAGGGTAAGATGGGATATTGGGAAGAAATTCTTGGCTTTGAGAGTGGTGAGACCCTGGCACAGGTTGTCCAGAGAAGCTGTGGCTGCCCCATCCCTACAAGTGTTCAAGGCCAGGTTGGACAAGCTTTGGAGCAACGTGGTCTAGTTGAAAATGTCCCTGCCCATGGCAGAGGGATGGGATGAGATGGGCTTTATGTTCACTCCCAACCCAAATCATTCCATGATTCTCTGACTCTTTGCTGACCGAGCCAGCGACAGCAGCCAGGTCTGTGGCAGCCTGCAAAGTTTCCAACCCATGCAGGTGAGGCAAGGACCTGTCTTTCCCTTTGAGGATCTGGAGCATCCACAGACTTCCCAGTGCTTCCAGGGATGAGTTTCCCCATCCTGGGAAGATGGTTTGAAGAGTGGGATCAAAGCCATCCATCTCTGAGGTGTTTCTCCTGGCAGGGCTTTGTAGCGACGTGTTCAGTCAGCTGAATGCCACCAGCCAGCCCCAAAATATCCCACAAAACAATTTTGTTACAAAACTCCACTTCATGCAAGCTGCTGTTTCCCAGGAGCAGGCTGGGAGCTCCAGGAGCTGGGTCTCCCTCTTCCCCAGTCAACCAGACATGGGGATGGCAACACCGAGGGTTTATCCAAAGGCTCTTTAGGGGATGGTGGATGACCCTGTTTGTCCCACAGCTCGGCTGCACTGGGAAGTGGGTCTGCCTGCTGGGGACATGGCAGCCAGAGGAAGAGGGAGGAAGGAAAGAAAAATCCTCTGCCCTGCTCACTCAGCTGGCAGCCTGGGAAGGACCTGGAGTGCTGCACTCCCATATTTCCAAGTTTTGGTAACAGAGGAAACTGGAAGCTGAAGTTGGGTTCCTCCCTATATATGGGGTTACCTTTAGTTAGAGCCTCTTCCAGCTCCAGGTCTAATCACTCCCTGCAGCCAGACACTGTTCTTTGTGTGATGGAAGAATAGCAAAAGAACAGAAAAAGAGTAGTAAAAGAATAAAGCCCAAATTCATATTATTTCTCATTTTTTGAGATGCGGTCTCAGCTCAGGAGAAGGAACCCAGAGTCAGTAGTCTGAGACAACAGAGGGCATTTCAATCCCTGTTTGGCTGGATTTGATATGAGGAGGATGCCTGGGACAGAACCTTTCCAGAGAGCCAGTGCAAAATTTGTATCCATGAAACCACATGCTTTGCACATGCTGTGCACCCCCACACTCGCACCCTGAGATGGTCCAAAAGCTCCTGGCTTCTCCAGAGTGTTTATTTTACAGCCACCCTACTCACACTTTGAAGTAGATTTAAGCAGCAACAACAAAATTATAGGCCCAGTATAAATCTTTAATCAGAATATGTTTTCCCCTCCGAGCCTGCACTGCTGTGCACAATCAGAACGCAAATCAAAAGAAAGCGGAGTAAATTATTCATTGGGAATCTATTCCTGCTTTCCCTACATGGGAGACTTGGAGGCAGAGTTCGGGGTGAGTGGCTGTCTCGGGACTGTTAATATTCACTCCGTTGAGCTGCGGCCACAGCGCCGAGGGATGGGTGAACTGCCGGGAACTGCAGCTCCTGGTTCTGCTCTCCCGTGGGGGGCGAGGGGCCGGGGTGGTGACCCATGGGTAGGAGCTCCACCAGCGTGTCCTCCAGCCCCTCGGTGCAGGACAGGATCTTCCACCCAGCCCATGGGACAATGCTCGTGTGGCCACACCTCCCCCTGCACCAGAAATCGGCTGCACGGATTTACACCCCGGGGAGAAGGAGCCCCCTGAGCCAACCCGGTGTGTCTCACCAGCAATTCCCATCCCTCCCTCATTGCACCCACCTACACACACTATTTATGGGATGCCCGAGCCAACGCTGAGCCCCACCTGACCGACGGGGACTCTGCTGCTGTTTGTCACTGATGGGACACAGAGACATCGGGAGGATCTAAACACTTAGGCAGAGCTGCCAAAGCTGTTTGCAGTATATGTTTTTAGAGGGGGGAGTAATTATTATTATTATTATTGTTGTTGTTGTTGTTGTTGTTGTTGTTATTATTATTTTAAACCTCAAGGTATTTATCTAAGAAATGCCTTGGCCCATCGTTGCCGAGTGCCTGACTCGGCACATTGTTCTCGGCCGTCAGTGAAATCAAACCCCTTTTTCTTGAGTTTTTTTTTAATTTTATTTCAGAGTCACGCTCCACGGCACAAACTGTAAAAATACATTTTAAAACGGCCAAAACAGACAGGTCGAGACCTTTCTGCTAACAATCCTCCACCCCATCCTTGAAATCTAAAGTAGTGAAGGATTTTGCAGAAAATAATGGATCATTTTCCCATTTACCCATGATTCAAGGATTAATAACTAATCCCATCAAAGGACATCTGCTTAGATTGTTCCTTGTCAGTGAAAGTAAATAGAGCCTTTTAGTCTTTAGACCTAAACTCCTCTGAGGTTATTATGCAGAGGAACCTCCTACAAGCGGTTGCTTTCTCTGTCACTCCTGCTGTGACTAACCCTGGAGGGAGAAAGCAAACTTTGCAAGTCCCTGGACATAAAGGTTATTTGCTAGAATGGAGGAGACTTTTATGAGAGGCCGGGTAAGCTGAGACCCTCACCCTCCCCTAAGGCTCGGCTCGGGCAGGGGGCTGCAGCCCTTTGAGCCGCTTTGTCCTGCCTCTATGGCACATTCCCCACGCCGGGGCGGGAACGCAGGGGCTCTGCTCCCCCGAAAGCTTCTCCTGTACTCAAGTGCTTCTTCAGAACAGCTCTTTTGGGGTTAAATGGGAAAACGAGGAATTGTTTGGGTCTGGGTCCAAAATCCAAATCCGCAGGGTTGGCAGGAAAAGTC